AAAAAAAAAAAAAAAAAAAAAAAAAAATCAAAAACAAAAATACCAACATTAGAAAAATCTCGTCTCAAAACCCTGTCAACCCCGGCGCGTACAATTCCCATAACCCTCTCTGATTGGCCAACCCTCAATTGAGCGCTAATTAATGCAAATATCACCTCGGCTTTGTTACATTGCATTAGCGTTTAATGTCACCTAATATAGCAACTTGTACTTTGAATTGCCCGCTAATTGCTAAAATTGGCAATGTTTACTGCATCAGCGGTAAATTAGTGCTCATCTGGCGAATGGGACTGACAGCAATGAGCTCTTGAGCAATGCAGGGTTCTGGCTGAGGAATGTTTCAGGGCTTTAAGGAATAAAAAGAAACAGGATGATCTTCGTTCTTTGGCGGTTGAGATGATAAGACTTGTCAAGCTTTTATACCACATATCATCCACACGGTTCATGGGTTTGTCTTGTCTTGTTTCTTGTCTTATTGCAATGGAATAATTCTGTATTTGGGCAAGTACTTGCTTGACCCTATACCTCTTGCTGAGTGTATTATGTTTTATTATTGTGTTACATATTAATAATCGACAACTGTCCAACGAAATTACCACAATGGCAAGCATCGTCCCCAACCCTCTAAACCGCTTCCGCAAACACGACTCCCACGAACCACTCCACGCCAGATGGGGCGATGTATCCATCACAGCACCAACAGAAGGGTCATGGTGCCAATACGATAACCCGCATCAATCCAGACATCGACGACTTGGCTATGGACCTGGATATGTCCCCGATGGGCTCCGTCGAGCGCCTATCTTGCCGGCCCAACACTACGAGGACGATGAAGAAGATGAAGGAGCCTCCAGGGCAGAACATAATACGTCGTCACGACGAATGAGCACATTAAACCCCCGGCGCTTATCAATGCGTTTATCACGGACGAAGTCCCAAGACGGACAACAAAAGCAACAGCAACAGCAACAGCAACGTCCCCCCGGCATCGACAGGACAGAATTCGCCTACAAACCAATTAAACAAAACTACTCCACCGAAGTCGCTGAGACAGCACATAAACGCGAGTCCCGATTCCGGTATATTCCCGCTAGTCCACAGTATCTCGAAGAGCCTGAGCGCAGTCAGTCGGTTAGCTCTGGCTCTGGCTCTGGCTCTGGCTCTGCGTCTAGCTCTAGCTCTAACTCATATGGGTATGGATATAGCCATCTTTCTCGGAGCGGGAGTCCCTTACGCAACGGCGTTGGTGTTGATGATGAGTTTGAAATCCATCGGGGACAACGAGATAGAGGGAGTAGGGCATTTCCCATGGGTTCTTCTACGATTTCGGGACAAGGACAACACGGGTACGGACAGAACAATGGGCTGTCGGTCTCGGGTGACAGGAAGAGAAGGTATTCGACGAGGCGTTTGACTACGGTTATGGTTCCGGATCCTGAGGATATGTATGGCTGATGATTGGTTATTGGGCTTTGGTTTTGGCGTTGGTGTTTGGTTGGCGCTTTAGGGTACGGTGTTTTAATTTTGGGCTGGCGTTATGATTATTAATTGGAATTGGGGTTAGAGATTTTGAATGAGAATATGAATATCTACCTATGAAGTCTGGTCGTAAATTGTAGAGTAGTATGTTGATGCTGAGGCTATACATATACAACGCCCTGAGAAAAGAACCTCCGGATAATGGAATTTCCATTCTCCATTCCCCCCAGACCTAGCCTATCATGCTTTCTCGGCTACTTACCAGTCCTGACGTCGACCAAGCCGATGACGTCACAACCAAAACATACCCTATAATCTGGATTATTTCAGTTTGTCTTTTCCGATTGGCCTGGAACGGCGTCCCTCAGTATGTAATCACGACGAGATATCAGCATTCCATTATCGGTACCCATCTCCAGGTTTCCGTATCCGGATGCAACGGGGTTATGACGGCATTGGTAGCGCATGCTTGATAGAATGTTCATATTTCTTAGTCTGGGCTCCTATATAGCTTTTTCTCTAATTCAATCTACGATTTATATGTTACATATGCTGAATTGCTCTGTGGTGACTGCTCGGATATAATTAGACTACTTGGATATAACGACAATGGCGGACGCCGTGGTTCAACTTAGATGTGGCGTTAAGGTATGCTCGCGTTTTCTCCTCTACTCCATCGATACTAATTGCAGTAGAATGATGGATGGGGAAAGCCAGGAAAAGAAGGAATGGCCGCGAAGCTGTGGTCGCAGACGCCCGGGAACGGTCAGATTGAAGATTCGAAGACCTATTCAGAGGTGAGTTGAAACGGAGACACTATGAAGCGACTGAAAACTCATTTTGCAGATGTGGATGGGAACATATCCGACCAATCCGTCATACGTCCTTTCAACGGGCGAGCTGCTCTCGGATTATCTAAAGAAAAACCAACAACTCGTGGGCAAGTCCGTTTTGGATCGGTTTGGGCCGGAGATTCCGTTTCTGCCAAAGGTGAGCAGCACTTGATTCCCACATTGATGTGTCCTTGCTAATTGATATAGATTCTCTCCTTCAGCAAGGCGCTCCCCCTCCAAATCCACCCCGACCTCAACCTCGCCAAAAAGCTCCACGAGAAGGATCCCAAGAAATTCGGTGATCCCAACCATAAGCCCGAGATCGCAATTGCACTTTCCAATTTTGAGCTGTTTGCTGGCTTCAAACCCGCCTGGGTTATTGAAAACCAGATGAAATTAAAGCCTCTCGAGAAATTCTTACCACCCCAAGACAGCAAGACCGATAACGAATATCTACGGGAAATCTGCCAGAATCTACTCACCCTGGACCCAGATACCGTTGCTCAGACTATTAAGGAGCTTCGAACTGTCCCTGAAGCCAACTTCGGGGAAGACAAATATATTCCCAGTATTCTGGACCGTTTGTGCCGGCAGTACGGCGACACCGACAACGGGAACCTGGTGGCGGCTATTCTGATGAACTATCTGACACTGGGACCCGGTGACTCCGTCTGTGTACCTGCGGACAGCATCCATGCCTATCTCTCGGGCGACATTGTCGAGTGCATGGCGCGGTCTGACAATGTGTTGAACACGGGGTTCTGTCCTCGTGCGGAACGTGATAACGCAGAATTATTCACGCAGGCATTGAATTTCAAGCCTCATTCGCGAGAAGCAGCTATATTACCACGAAAGAAGAGCGACAAGGGCATCAATGGTAAAACAGAGGTTTTTGCGCCGCCGTTCAGTGAGTTTAGCGTCCTGTTGACATGCCTGGGACCGGGCGAGTCGGAGACGCACAAGTCCATTTTGGGGCCGAGTTTGATGATTGTCACCAAGGGATCTGGGAAGATGAATGCTCCTGGGAAAACGATCGAAATGAAGGAGGGATTTGTTTATTTTGTTGGTCAGGGAGTTGCGCTGGACTTTAGTACCGACAAGGGAATGGCGCTGTACCGGCCCTTTGCGGAGTAATCTGTCGAATTAATACTTGCGATAAAATATTAGATCAATTCATGCCGCCCGTTGATATTTGTTTTCGGTAGAAAAGCAGAGAACATGTCGCAATTCGGTTAGGGCTATCAGTGCCTAAGGCATGTTAATCGCATCAGAACCCGAGATCTCCAGCAAAATTGGATAGATCAATTCCAACAGGAGTTTCAGAAACAAACTCGAACACAATCCGACGTGGCCCAATGAATTCTTTCTCCGACGTGGAGAAAAGCGCCCACCCGCGCGCACTGATACGCTTCCCGAAGCGCCTGGATCGAACGGAATCGCAGCAGCAGCCTCTCACAGCCAATCAATAGATGAAACCCGCAAAATCTCAATTGAGAGTTGCTATTTTGGGGAGAGCCGCCTTTAATTGTGGCAGCTGAGTTTGTTTACCCTTATTCTCAAAATAACACGCGCTGAAACAGAACGAAGAGAAAGTATAGCGATCTTCTGTCCCTGAGTGGAGGAAGGGTTATTTGAATGGGATTTGTCCGTCGATTTTTGTCTTTTGTGATTTTTTGGTTTGGGGGTTGCCTGTCAGCTTTGGTTCTTGTGTCTGTTTCTTTACCTGTCAGATTAGTTCGTTATGCTTATAGCTCGACATGAAGGCAGCTTGCTCCAGGCTAGATCCCCGGATGGTTCGGTAGACGACATCAATGGCGTTTCGGGGGACTCCAGTGAACCTGATAGCCTCTCACCTGAGAAGCAAGCCATCATCGGGGCCGTTGTAGGAGGGGTCGCTGTGATTGCAAGTGAGTCAGTCCGAGCATGTCCATAGGATATAAGTTTGTACAAACCAATGCTGACCACTTGATTCCTATACAGTCACGGCAGGGATTCTCTTCTTCCTCATTAAAAAGCACAGATGGGATCAAATCCGACAACGCGAAAAAGCCTTGTTGGCCCTTCATGCACCTCCACCGGCATACGATAGCAGTGACACAAGCAATAGCTCGAGGTCTTCACGAAAACCCTTTCCTTCTCCTCTCCTTCCTCCTGTTCCTGTTCCTACTCCTGCGCGCCCAGCGTCTGTATCCATTCCAACTTCGTATCAATGTCACGTCAGCAGAGACATAGAAGAGCAATTACCAGCGTACGACGCCCCATCGATACCAGTATATGACCCCTCGAGATATCAGCAACAGCAGCAACAACCGTTCCGTCCTACCTCGACCGTCACGTTAAATAGCGGTCCCCTGCACTATTTTACCGGCGACACCCTGTACAGACAGAGGTCTTCGCAACTATCAGTGCCATTCCAAGGTCATCGACATACCATTCAAAGTGTACCAGCATTGTATATCGGGAGTCAAGAATCAGGAACTGGAGTACCAGCGTCGAATTCCTCGTCTGCTCCAGTTGGCGGTAATGGGACAAGGCCTCCTCGAAAGCCAAAGCCAGTGTTGTCGAGGTTGATAACGAATTTTGGGTAGATGGGTATTAAGGCGTTTGGGATCTCTTTTATGAATGGATATTGGGTGGCTTCTATTCTTTTCTTTGGTAAAAGCAAGAACAGTTGTCAATATGAATGAAAGGACAAGTTCTGTCGATTGTGTAGAAAGACCAGTCACATGATCCACTTGTTCTCTTCCTTCACTTATCCTTATTCTTCTCACTCGGGTCAACTAAGGCCCTCTTCAAATTCCGACACAATGTTACCGTGTCTCCGAATATCTTATTAACTGGGCATGAGATCACGATAAACTACTTCGAGGACTAAATCTTTTTGTCTATGAACATGAATGGGTGTTAACGAGCACATGCACAGGCACACAATAACCCGGTAAGCACTCTATTGTACTTAACGCAAATGACAAGAATTCATACTAACACACCAATTGACAGCAAATGAACATAAGTTTGACTAGCATGGGCCCCGACGCTCAGGACAAGCTGGACCCGCCGAGCAACGCTAGTCGATACACCGTTCATGTCGCTACCTCGGTATGGGCTATGTGGACTACTCTATGAAGGGTCTCGGCCAGACGATGCAATATCAGATGACAATCACCGTTCCGGGCCGACATTAGCAGTTTGGGGTTTATGCCAGGAGCACCAGCTCGGTCGGATAGCGGAGACAGAACTCTGTACTTTCAATGACACTAGATTTGAGGTGACATATTTTGATTCCCCGTATCTGGGATCTCACCATCAATCTGCACCTGAATGACTACGGATGTCAGGCCGCATAGAATGTGCCGAAGACAATAACAGCTTTTGCATATACGACCTCGACATGGTGATCCAGTGCTCACCTCTTACATATTCTTGCTCCGGTATTAATTCGCTTTCATATTAATATCTGCAGCTACCAGTTAGCTCACAACCGGCGCGTAGGTAAGCTCTGTGGATGGCTGACAGCCGGTCGATCAACCGTGCTTCTCCCGCTCTCCCACTCATATGCTCTTATTTCCCTCCACCCTTTCCCTCCCGCTATGGTCAGGGATCTTGATTTATTTTTGACAGGGGTGGTCCCTGCTTTTTCCGTTTCCGGTTATTGTTGGGTCAATTGAGATGCTTGACTCTCCTGTCGTTCGAATCTGCGCTGACTGTTGGTTCTTCAATTGCCCAGGTCCATCCTCTAGCCAACGAAATGGCGCAATATTCCAACCATTCCAAAAGTTGCTTATCACCGTTACATTAAAGGACCCATAGTGAGACTGAATCATTCGTCACATTCCCTCCTTAGACGACAAATAGATCAATCAGTATCAGTCCTGGAGCGCTATAATGCAAGCGCCTTGCCAAGCCGCCAGACAAATGCTTGCATATTTGTACGACTGCAGCATCCCGGAGGGGGAAACAAGTTGGCATGCTAGTTGACTGCGCCGCAATTCCTCTGTCTACCAAAGCGCCCGGAATACTTACCCCTCTCGTGCTCATTGTCGGTCGGCCTAGCAATATGCCTCGCCCATTATCAGCCGCCGCAGTCGAGGGAACGGGCAAGGTACATATGTACCTTATCCTATGATGATTTCGGGACCCTGTTCATCCTTTACGGCTGACCATTGTGCAAGAATCCCCCGTTGGCCCTCTCGTAAATCTCTCGGAGAGATTGTCTCCCGCTAAAGTGGAAAGGGCAGGTGGTCCCAAACTGTCGGGTCGTGAACGCGTTTTCGATGGCGACAGAGAGGCCCAAATTCTGCGCCAGGCGACGATTGAGGAAATTTGTCCCCTCTCTCTTTGTCCTTTCTTCACATTGTAAAAGAGAATATGCAGGTGGGCTGTAATTCTGTGTGCGCCTCAGCCGGCTCTGATATAACCCCGTCCAATGCTGCCAAAGGGCCGGTTCAGTTTCTTCTCTTCATCTACATTTCATGACCAGAATTTTTTAACACTGCCCTGACTCCAGACTCTGGTGGACTGCAAACGTTACAATTCTCATCAGGTAGGACCTCTCTCTTGTAGTTATCCTTATTGTAAGATGTTCGAGTTTGACTCATAAGTTGTACTAGGCTCAGTGCATAGTCGATCAAACAACATGACGACCATTTTTCGGAAAATTCGAGGGAAGCGCAAGCTTTCTAGCGAACTAGACTCACGATGGGGTGATGTCTCCATCTCCTCCCCCAACGAGGGGTCTTGGAGTCAAGGCTTTCAGCCATTGGGCTCCACTGTCAACACACAAGCGAGAAGCCCCTCAGAGCAAGGGCAACGGCCTAGCTCTATGAATTCGCTTGGACGGCGCAGTTCTTCATCCCACAGAGCAACGAAACCAAGTCCGTCGAGTGCCGCTTCAGTGGATTCGATGCCAACGGGCCACTACAACGCCAACATACAAAGCCGGCCCCGAACGTCACACAGAAAATCACCAGGAACAGGCCTTGGTATCGGCATGCTCCAAAATGGTTACAGTGCTTGGGTTGATGCCAGTAGCGATGACATGTCGTCGGACGATGAAGGCAGAGACGGCGTCGTACGAACCGGGCGATACCTGACCGTGGGTACGGAAGAAACAGACTACACTCGAGCATCCAAATCACCACCTTTGTCAGTCACATCTCGCATGCGGCGCAACAGTTACCAGAGCACGATAGAGCCCAGCCCTTTCATACCAAGGACAACGAGTTTGAGGCATGCGAGCTTCACTTCTTCTGCTCCAACAACATCACCCGAAAATTCGCGGATAGGGTATGGGCACCGTCATCCTCCATATCCAAAAAGGAACCATGTGCGTCACCCAAATCCTTTGGAGCTTGAAGCGGCTAGAGGACCGGAGCTGGTCCCGTCGTACGATGAGTTGTATGGATAAACGTTTGGGTAATATCTTCGATGATAATTTTCTTTCTTTTCTTCCTACATATTTTTTCTCCCCTTTGGTAGATACTACGCCTTTTGGTTATTTTATGTCCTTTATGACGCTTGATGCTATGAAGATTATACGCTGGTAGGCATTTTGGACTTTGGACCATGAGCAATCGAGATCTCACAATTAATAATATTACATTTTGGGTTGTAGATTTTGGAATGCGCGAAAAAGTTTCGCCTTCTATTGTTTTTGGCATAAGTACGGAGTACGTACCCCGATTATATATCTCAACTCCGACTGCATTGACCAGCGCCAAGAGAGCAACACCTCTGACCAAGACAGACGTTCGCAGCACTGATATTAAACAGACATAAAACCTTACGGACCGTGCCAGACGACCAACTCGGCCCCATCAACCGACTTAACTGTCAGATCATAAAAATCAGTTGCTAGAGACTTTGCCGATGTGCGAGCCAAGAGGGGGTTCTCCATCGTGAGTCGGCAAATGAGACGCTCGTGCATTCCGAATCACTATCACAGCCGGGCTTTTACTTGTTCGCCCATCACGTCCATCACATCCACTTGGCCAAAGATGGTCCGGACCAAATCGCCCGGTGGCTACTTGCCAGCTGCCGGTCGCCAAATAGCGATCACGTCTCCCCGCTCCTCATTCGGCCTGCAATGTGGGTTTGCCTTTGTTGAATGGACGTCTGGGAGGCCTTCTCTAAGCGCCGGGGTGATGTACCCTGCCGCATAGCGTGTGTTTGATTCGACGTTGACAAATGCGCTACAGAGCCATGGTCGGAAATGCTCACTCTCAAAGACGTTCATTCCTTTTATCACCTCGTACAACGTACCAAGATGCTCAAGCTTTTTCTGTTGTTTAAGTGAAACAGCGAGAATCCTCTTTTCCTGCGAGAAGTACTTACGTCTTGGGTGCTGCTCATTACCAACTTTGAACATTTTAATATTTCAATGCAAACGGTCTCGTATCGCACGGCATCTGTCTTCTCTTGGCTGTGATCGCGGGCGTTAAGAAGACCATCCAATCCAACCCGGAAGGAGTTGTTTCTGTTTGTGCCTGCATTTTTAATCTCGAGGACGATGCTCGGCTTCTTGGGCCGCGGCCCAAGGCCCACGATTCAGCTGGCACTGGCGATCCTACTTGTATTTAGCCAGCTTACTTCCGTGGCTTTCGGTCTGAGAACAACAGAAGGCTCACCTTGCGCGAGTGTCTGCAATCGCTATTCAACCAACACCACCTCGTCGGAGATTGTTTGCTTAGATCGACAATATAACAGTACTTTGAAAGGAACGCATTTCCAGGAATGTGTCGACTGTCAATTGCGCAGTGACTTTTTCGATACAATTTCAGGGGAATCAGATGTGACTTGGGGACTTCGTATGTCGGCCATATAGTATGGTTTGTTCTGGTATATGCTGACCAATATGATTGTCTAGATAATCTTCGCTACGCTTTTACTTCGTGCCTTTATGGATATCCTCATCAGGTGGCCAACATTTCGTCGCCATGCGTAGTATCCTGTTCATCGCTGGAACCGGCTCTCGACCAGAACATACAGAACCCAAGTGCTTATGGATTCTTCGAATGGTGCGGCTCGTCAGCATTTGCCGATGTTGTCGTTACTCAGTGCCATGAGTGTTACAACTTGACAACCAACCAGATTTATCTGGGAAATTGTACGTCACTTCACCATACATTCACGTATACAATGGCTGACACCCGGGAAAACAGTCATCGAAGCCATCCGCTACAACTGCCACTTCCGCACCTCAGCCGGCGAAGCATTCCCCATCAACTCCAGCGAGATCTTCACCCAAAACCCCCTCCCGGAACATACGGCATCCCTAACCGATCCCCCGAAAGACGACTCAGGAGTAAACCTCCCCTTAGTGATCGCTGTTCCGATCGTCGGCTTCATCGTACTAGTTTGCGCGTTCAGCGTCTGCTGTTTCTTTTGCATCCGCCACCGTCGCAAGAAGTCAAAGGCGCGCGAGGAGAGGGAATTCCATGAGCAGTGGAATACTATGGCTCTTGCATCGCCGGGTCCGGGTGCTTGGGGGCAGTATCCCGCACAAGCACCGGTCATGTCGCCGGCTGTTTGGGGGTATGGTGGATATGGGTATGAGCCCGGGGTAGCGTATTCGGATAATAACGTGAATAGTGGGCAAGGACAAGGTGTGGGGTTTGCAAAGTCGGGCTTTGATACTATTCAGCCGGCTGTGGCTGTTACGTCGACCCCGACACCTGATTTGTCGGAGCAGGAGCAGCAGCAGCAACAACAACAACAACAGCCACAACAGCCACAACAGCCTACCGGAAACGGAAATGAGGGACAGGCACAGGCTCATGCCCAGACATATTTCCCGCCTCCTCCTAGTGCCCAAACCCAACCGCCACATGGTTCATGATTCATATGCCACTGACGGTACCCTACCTTTAAGGCAAAGCTCTACTTGTGTTTTTCTTTTGCTTGCCTCACTAATTGATATCTACTCTCCTTATATACCCCCGGATGAAGCGTTGACACTGTTCATGTTGTTTTGATTTTGAAGTGACATACAAATAATAATGTACACAGAGAATATATTAGGAACACAGACACTATGGACATAGTCGTACTCAGTCATATATTATAGAGTATGATGCTGGATTATTAACATGGTGCATACTGTGTGATACTGTTCACTCATGCATCTTGAAATTTTAGGCCGAAAGTCTCTCCATACTTTGTGCTCAGCTCGCTTTTAATCAGCGTTGACTGTAGTATTCTGGTCAAGAGCTGCGATCTCCAGCAAGGCAATAGGTGGATTTATCACGACCTCGTTATCACTTTTCCGTATGTAGTTAGATTGCAACAAGGTGCTTGAATCTGAGAACCAGGATTGCCATTGAAGGAAGTGCGATCATACAAAGCCCGCCACGAGGTATTCCGTCATTACTCCCTTTCCTATACATGATGTCTCAATGTGCACACAGCATGGGCCTTTCCGCCGTCTATCGGATGCTTCGATAGAATACTGCTGAGGGTTGTCCGTGAGACTAATACTTGAACAGTACTCTAAACGCAGATGTCGTCTCTGATAAGGGATCGAAGGACCCATGCATGGCAGAATAGGCTGATTCTGTAGAGGTATTGAGTATATTGTACCTGGAATCTAGCTTAGGTCGTCAAAGTCGCTTCAAGAAGCTGTCTGGACGTCTTGTTGACCTGTTGCTATACGGAGTTAAGTAACTGTAGCGGGTATTATCTCCGACAACACCAAGACCAACTTCTCTTTCACCTCCGCATCTCAACCGTCCTAATTCTTCCATACCACATCAAAGACGCCAGCACAAAATGACCTCCCTAAACCAAGATCAGATAAAAGCCCTCGAGCAATCCCGCCAGCGTCTCGTTCAATTAACCCACTCCCTCAGCTCCCTAATCACCAGCCTAAACACCAGCGATCCTCTTCCCTCATGGTACCTCTCCCTCCCAACTTAAACAAACCATAACCACCTAATAATACTGATAAACGTATAGGTCTTCCCTCCAATCCCAAGCAACAATTATCTCCAACAACCTCGTCACAGTCTCCGAACACCTCACCGACCAACAAGACCTCTTCGGCTCGCTCGTCGCGTACCCAGGGCCCGACTACCCGAGCCGTACGCAAGGCCCTGCCCTCGAACAGCTCCTGCGCACGAAACTCGATCCCCGTGTCGAAGACTGGGTATCGCGCGGACGGACCGCAGGGCAGAAATCGCAATCGCAGGCGCGGGCACTGATCCGAGGCCAAGAGCTGAGTGCGGGAGATTTGACGGAGTTGTGGGAATGGGCGCCTGTGGAGGCGAACCAGGAGGCTAGGGGGCGGAATTGGGGTGGGAATTTTACGTTGGAAGAGAAGGAGGCGGGGATTGAGAATGTTGTTACCGGACTGAGGAGGGAGTTGGAGGATGAGGATGAGAGTGAGGAAGAAGAGGAAGAAGAAGAGGACCAGATGGATATTGTGGGGGCTAGGAGAAAGACGTCTGGTGGTGGGCTAGAGTTTGATATTGCTGCGAGACAGCCTGCGGAGGTGGCTGCTGCTGGGCCGGTGATGCCGTTGGATGATGTTTTGAGGTTTATGACGACTGGTTTGCCGCCAAAACAGCGGTGACTACGCTACGGCAAGTTTTACTGTGTGGATACAACTGGAAATGTGAAAATCATAGCGTCAAATTAAAATGCAATTGCAACAAAGCAGATTAACCCCGTCTCCGGGTAGTAGGGGTCTTGCCAGACGGCTTGGGAGACGCCCCGGTGCTCGCGGCAATAGGAACCTGCTGCACAGGCCTGGAAGCCGGCTTAGCCTGTTTTTTGGGCTTTGCGGGGCTCTTCCAGTAATACAGCATCTGACCAGCCAGTATCACGTTCAAAGTAAATCCGGCAATGAAGCTGTAGAGAATGAGCTTGTCATCAACCTCTTGCAAAGTAGTAAAGATGCGCGAGAGAGATCCAATGAGATAGTTGAAGACCTAGACAAACATGATCTGTCAGCGATTTGTAAACCGTATATTCGTTCGCAATAGACATACCGCGAAAGCGCTCAACTGTCCAGTCCCACCCTCACTCCAGATGGTGAGAATTTGAGGAGCCTTGCTGGCAATGCTCAAAGCACCAGCACCAGCCTGAAGATACGCCATTGTCTGCGCATCTACCATAGTATGATCTACCAACAGCGCGTACACACTAGCCGCAACGACCGCAATAAAGGCCGCGGCAGACGTAGGCCGACCAGCAAAACTCAACACCAACACACCCACCACAACATCCTGCACAGCAATCAAAGCCGACTCGCCATACGTGCTGAATGGGAACTGGTTGCGGACACCATATGAAAGCGTGATAAGCAGACTAGCCGTCTCCAGTGCGTACGACACAAACGACACACCGGCCGACGACTGTGAGCCGATCAACTTCAAGATCTGCGGGACTTTGACGATAGCGCTAGCTCCAACGATAGCCAGACCGAGGGCTTTGGAAATAGCAAGCGATGTGCAGTTGGGGTCTTTGGTCACGTCGAGGTCGAGCACCAAGGCATTGTGGCAGTCAGATCCGATCAGCGACACGATGGCATCATGAACGGGTTCGGGAAGAGTGAGGGCGATAGGACGGAGGATTGGTTGGAGGGGTTCGATCACGGATTTCTGGAGGACATCCATGGCGTTGTGCTTGTCTCGTTAACACTCCGGATTTTGTATTATTTGTGGACAGTAATAGTATTTAAATGTTGTTGTCTTCTGCTGATCGGCAAAAAAGTTCGGCTGCGCGACTGGCTCCTGTCGTCCGCCGGGGAATTTCTCCTCCGCTGCCCGCCGACTTGCTTAATTCCTTCTCCGTCTTCTATCGCCAAATGCTCTGATAGCAACGCCATGATTCCTCTCCGTTCCTCATTGTTGAGGCCCGGGGCAGCTTCTCGAGATCCTGCCCGCCTGCTGTGTTCGCAATGCCTACACCGTGCTGCGCGCCCGCAGCGCCCCTCCGTCCGGACGTTCGTCTTCTCGTCCCGCTTGCGATTTGGTGTCGCTCATGACAATTCCCCATCGTCTACGCTGCAAAAGACTTACTTTTCTGGGAACCGGACAGTGGATGATGCAACATTTATCAGTAATGGAAACCTCTTGGGCTCTTTGTCGACAGCCAATTCCCCTACCTCTCCCGCCAACACTCGTGCGTCCTCGTCATCCAGCGAAACCACCGTACTATCAAATCCGGAGGAATTGCCTCACAGACGGAGGAAACGATTAAAAGAAGAAGAGACTGGGAGCAAAGCCGCAGAACATGTTATTCCGCCAGATGCATCCGCGCAACTCTCGTCCTTTTCCTCCGCTCTCCCCACTACCTCTCTCCGACGCAAAATGGCCGCCTTCCTCGCCCTCACCAAGCCCCGTCTCTCGGTCCTCATCGTCCTCACCACGACCTCTGCGTATGGCATGTATCCGATATCGACCCTACTCACACTCGACCCCTCCATCGCTCCGCTTCCGACCCTTTCCACCTCGACATTGACCTTCCTCTATTTGACTACAGGCACATTTCTCTCTTCCTGCAGTGCCAACGCGTTGAATATGATGTTTGAACCGCAGTACGATGCGCAAATGTCACGGACAAAAAACAGACCATTGGTTCGGGGCCTCCTCTCCCGCCGTGCAGCCCTTCTCTTTGCGATCGCCACGGCAGCCTCGGGGCTTGGTTTGCTATATATTGGCACTAATCCAACCGTGACGGCGCTTTCGGCATTCAACATCTTCCTATATGCTTTCGTCTACACCCCGCTGAAACGGATACATGTGATCAACACCTGGGTGGGGGCCATTGTGGGAGGAATTCCTCCGCTAATGGGCTGGGTTGCTGCGGCTGGCCAAACGGCAACCATGGGCCACGACACATGGCGTGACATGCTCCTCAGCGAAGATAGCATCGGTGGATGGCTATTGGGAGGCATTCTGTTTGCCTGGCAATTCCCGCACTTCAATGCGCTTTCCCACACAATTCGCGAAGAGTACAGGGCGGCTGGATATAAAATGCTCGCCTGGACCAACCCCGCTCGGAACGCGCGCGTTGCTCTTCGCTACTCGGTTCTCATGTTTCCCATCTCCATCGGGCTCTGGTGGGTTGGTGTGGTTGGTCATGGTTTCTTGGTTGGTAGCACGGTGGCCAATGGCTGGCTAGTGAAAGAGGCATATAAGTTCTGGAAGGATCAGGGTGCCAATGGGACGGCGCGTGGCCTGTTCTGGGCCAGTATCTGGCAACTCCCTATTCTGTTGGTCGGAGGTCTGGTGACGAAGAAGGGTCTTTGGGACGGAGTCTGGAACCAAATATTTGGTCAACCTGTTGATGATGAAGATGATTACCTCTACTACGAGGTCGAAGAGGATGAGCTTGAGACGAGCAATGTAGTCTCTACAGGGTCGAGTTCTTCGTCAAGATAGCTGTTTTTATTTTGATATTTCCATTTTTGTTCGATAGTCTATTGGGATGGCGTTTATTGTATAATAGCATATGATTGATTGTGATGCAATTAAAATGAGATATTGATAATAGATGGGACACTAAAGGCTTACCTTGCGCAGCCCTACTACTTTCCCCCTATTCAGTAGCCAAACCGTTGCTGTATCCACCAACGCCAACGTACTCGGCCCGACCCGTTTCTATCACGTGCCATACCTATACGATGCCTCGTTAATCTGTTTTCTCGAATAACACGAATCCAGAGATTCGCTGTATCGACTGACAACCGACAACTGATACCAAAATGGCACTCGAGTTATTATCAATAAAACGCCCACATCCACCTGCCGGGGTTGTGGGTGGCATCGTGACACATAATGTACCGCATCCCTTATCATATACCCTGTCCAGAAACATATGTGCTTATGGAGCATCCCCAAACCAGCAAGCTCACCATGTAACAGCTCCTACGAGACACATTCACAATCCAAACATGGCTACTCATTGGTGCCGTTCTGCAATCCCTATTGACAATTCTGCTACCACTCCCCTGCGCCATCCTCCCTGCGATCTGTCTACTTTCGTGGCGTGCTATGCATACCATGCTCATAACATGCGGGTTGATCAGAAACACGAACATGGATGATGTGATTATGGGCAAGTTTTCCGCGCAGATCCCCGGGAGAGATGGGGTGATGCCGAAGAAGGGGGCAGAGGAGGATGCTACGGTGATTTTGCTGGGGGCGAGATCGAATCAGTTAGTCCTTCTTCTCTATGGTAGAGTCCTTATAGCCGGTGTGGATTGACTAACGGATGGATGGGAATCAAGTCCCCTTGGAATCTTCGGCCCCGGGTATCAGCAGATAGGTGAATTTCAGAACAAAATGCTAGCGCAGCTGGATGGCAATGCAGAGAAATATGGCTGTAAGCCATTCCATTCTCACTTCTCAGATATGTATTAACGAAACTAGTCCTCGGCTCCACAACATACCTCGAAGCTACCGCACGCCAAACTAGCAACCAAATCATAACAGCATGTTACTTCCGCTCGCTCGAAGAACTGCACCGCTACGCACATAGTTCTCTGCACCGCGAGGCATGGAATTGGTGGAATGGCGTTACCAAGACGCATCCGCATTTGAGTATCTCCCATGAGGTTTATCATGCACCGAGGGGGTGTTGGGAGAATATATATGTTAATTATCATTTGACTGGAATTGGTACGTCTAGCACTCTTTTTTCGGGTTGAATTGTGGGGGTGGGGTGGTGATAGTTGCTAACCGTGGTAGGGAATATGAGGGCCGATATGAAGAGTCCCGAGGAAGGCGTGAGGCCGATTGTGGATGCGAGGAAGGGAGGGTTGAGGACTCAGATGGGACGGTTGGCCAAGGGTGATGGGGCGGATAATGAGAAATATGGGGTAGATCCTTATTAGTTCCGGACATGGGCAGGGAATATATATAGGTTGACTGATATCATATTATATACTGGCATAATTCCATAACATACATATATACATGAGACGAGAGGGTGTCTTATCCATACAATTCATACACTATTAGAAGCTTACTTCCCCAACCTTAAATGATACGTCTCCAACGCCTCCTCATTCATCTCACTCGGCGCCCTCACCATAGCATCCTCACCTCCCTTCCCAGTCTTCGGAAACGCAATAACATCCCTAACACTCTCCTTTCCCAGCATAACTGCAACCAACCGATCAAATCCCAACGCCAACCCGGCATGTGGCGGACACCCAGCCCTAAGCGCATCAAGCAGGTGTTCAAAATCTGCCAACCGCTCCGGTCGCATCTGCAGGATATCACGGAGGATGAATTCCTGCACAGCTGCGTCGTGGATACGACGACTTCCTCCACCGAGTTCGACGCCGTTGACGACGAGGTCGTAGTGGTCTGCGATTGCTTCCGTAGGGTCGGAGAGGAGTTTGTCGACGTCTGCCGCGGTCTTGGGCGCCGTGAAGGGGTGGTGGGTGGAGGAGATACCGGCTGCACCGCCCTGGCCGGGTTCTGTGTCTGAGGAAGGGGAGAAGAGGGGGAAGTCCGTTATCCAGAGGAATTCGAAGCCCGTCGGGGCTGGCTTGAAGCCGGAGGATACGGCGGCGGCCTGAAGGGCGCGACGCAGGTCGCCGATTGCAGTCGAGCCGCCTGTGAAGGGGCCTGCTTCGCGGGCTTGGATTACGATAAGGTCGCCATGGTCTGGGTCGAGGGCATTTTCGATGTGTTCGGCTGCTTCAAAGCCGAACGGTTGCAGGCCGCAGAGGGGTTTCTTGGCGTTGTAAACGAAAATTCCGGGTGCGCCGTCTGGGTTGTTGTTGAATGGAGCACCGGCGGGGGAGTCTAGGAATTCAGTGAGGAACTGAGTCATGGCAGCGGGGTCGTTGTCGTTGTTTTCAATTTTGAAGACTTCCACGTATGGGTTGAGGATGGGTGTGATTTTGCTGACTAGGTCGACGGGAAGGAGGTAGTCGATCCGAGAGATTTCCATGCCGTATCGGGTGTCTGGTTTGTCAGATCCGTACTTGCTCATAGCTTCCTCGTATGAAAGTCTCCGGAATGGACCAGACGGTGCTGGTTCTTCCATCAGGGTTGACCAGAGCCTGCGGATAACTCCTTCAACAACCCTCATGACATCTTCGCCGGTTGCAAAAGACATCTCCAGATCGAGCTGGGTGAATTCAGGCTGTCTATCTGCCCGGAGATCTTCATCTCTGAAGCATCGTGCGAATTGGTAGTATCTCGGGATCCCACTAGCCATAAGAATCTGCTTGTATTGCTGAGGACTCTGCGGTAACGCATAAGCCAATCCACGCCTCCGCGTTGGTACCAGAAACTCTCTGGCACCCTCTGGCGTCGACTTGAATAGAAGCGGTGTTTCAACCTCGACAAAAGCAGGCTGACACTGCTCCAATTCCCCTTTGCAAACATTGTGTACCTGCGCGCGAAACCTAAGCGCATCACGCAACTCACTTTCATTGCGCAATTGCAGGTACCGCTGCTCCGGCGCAAACACGGTCTCCGGTGTCATAAGAATATCGTTCGGGAAGTCATTGAGATGGTGTACATCTTCGACGTGCACTTCCCAAGCATCACTCTTTTCAGGTGTCTCTCCTCCCTTTGCCTTCTTAGCCTGGACCTTGCCCTGGACCGCGACGGGGCTGTTTGCACCAATGGATCTAACTTTCTCGAAAGCGTCGCCGCTCTTGGAGAAAGATACGAGTTGCACGCTGTGTTTCATTGTTGGGTCTGTCAAGCGTACGAAGGATAGTTTCTTAGAAAGGTCCGCGCGGTGTCCCAGGTAGCCGTGTAGGATGACTTCTTGACCAGAGCTGGCCTGGGCCAGAAACACCTCAAAGTCATTATGCGTAGCAGGGGGAAATTCAACTATGAACCGGAGGATTAGCGCACTCCATTGTTGATGTCTAAGTAACCGAAGTCATACCGGCTTTTTTAAAACGTTTTAGAAAGGACCGGTCTTCGGCATGGATATGGGATTGCTCCCAGAGAAAAGAATGGTTATGAAATGCTCTATATTTCGGAATCTGAGTTAACAGTCCAGTCCGTAGCCCAGCTTGTCGACAGCGGAAGTAATTTGAAATCTCGATATAGCTGGAGCGGAGACGGGGAGAGTATCGTCCCACGCGGGGGAGCATTTTGACAAGGGCGGAATTAACACGCTCGTAAATACCAATTGAGCAATATAGTTAAATAGCAATTGAAAAACGGCAGGAATCACAAGAAAATGAAGGTAAAATGGAAGCCGAGATGCGATATATCGGCAGAACACCACCGCCTACCAAAAATGGTCTAGCGCTTCTCTCCACATACAAATATTGACGAATTTTTCATAATTTCTCTTCTTTTCTTCTCCATCCTTCCAAGTTTTGAATATGTGAGTACAAGTCTTTCTTGATTTCAATGCGATAATTGCTAATAATATGCAGATGATGAAAGCCTAGCGTGTTTTATTTGAGTCATCCCCCCTCCAGGAGTCTTGTGGCTCTCTCTTTCGGGAGTTCAAGGGCTACAGGACTCGGGATGGGGGGAGGATGATAGCGGCGTTCGGCACACCAACCTTGTTACTTCAACGGACGCGATGAAGGCATCTCTGATACACATAGCTTGGTGGTGTTTAGTGGTTCGGCAAGACCCCTGGACTTAGGATGGTTCCCTCTGGTTCGAGGTCGAGATGCCAATATATTGTAGCTATATAGACCAATGATACCCTTTCTCAATACCTTTTTCGGCTTCACCTTCGTTACATGTCCCTTCGTTTCTGGCGCAAATCCGGATATCTTTGCAAGCAGCTATCAACAACTCTCCCCAAGAGCATTTTATGACTGATACCGTGGTACTCTGCGGTTTTTACCAAGTTAGACCATTGCGGACGCAACCCAGGCAGTGGATTGAGCTATGATAGTTAGTCCTGCAATTCGCACGGGGCGGAGTAAGACATACTTCCAGAACATACGGTTTTCCATTTGCCCCGAATCGAACATCTACTCGTCCAACATCGCAACACTCCAGCGCCCTCCATGCCCGCAGGGCAAGATCCTCAGCGGCCTGAACCTCAGGATTATTGTGAGCATCCACCAATTGCTCCAGGTGATCATTCCCTTCCTCGTTCTTATTGGAGATGGTGAGGAAACCGCCGTCGACTGGATTCGACCAGTTGATTTGGAGCGAGCCAAGGACTTTCGCATAACTGCCCGTCCCCAGCAGACTGACCGTGTACTCGTTTCCAGTCAGATATTTCTCCACCAGGATGCTCTGTCCGAAAAATTGCGACTGGAGCTTTTTGACACCGGCCTCGAGTTCGGAGGGGCAGGTCACTCTGCTGAAGGGGTAGATCCCTTTTGAGGATCCCTCACAGGCTGGTTTGATGAAGAGCGGGAAGTCTTTCAATTCCTCTGCATGGACGCTTCTTTCCACAAGCTGCGAGACTGTTTTTATAATGGGATCATAGGAATCCCACAATGCCGGGACAATGGCGAAGGGTGCAGTCGGGATACCGTGGTGCTCGAGAATCATCTTTGGTGGTGGTCAGTGTATCATATCCTGACTCCATATGAAACGGTCATACCTTTGTCTTCCCTTTATCCAAACACAAAGCCAACGTTGCCGCATCTGACAACACATGCGGAATGCGATACGCCTCCAGTAGTCCAGGCACTTGAGCTTCACGGCCAGCCCCATATATCCCCTCAGAGATTGAAAAGGCTAGATCCCACAGCTCATGTTCTCCATTGGCAATCCTGCTCACCAATTCTTTAACATCACCTACCAGGACGACTTCGTAGCCATTGCTTCGGAGGGATTGGGCAACGGCTTCGATGGTTTGGTCCTGGTCCAACTCTACACAGTCCTCAACGCTGTAGCCGCGGGAACGATAGAGGGAGAAACTTTCGTAGAAAAATGCTATCACTAGGGGCGCCATATTGGTAATGGTGAGAGAAACTGGAAAGTCGGCTGGGCTGGGCTTGAGTATATTACTGACACATCATACATGCCACGCTACGCACAAGTACAAACTTCACGGCTGAGACAGCGGTCTGAACCGAATTTCAGCTGAGCCATAAAGTCGCCCCTTGCGAGAGGGCTAGAACGTATTGACTAACGCATCTTGCATATGAGCAATGCATACACGATCATTGTAGGGATGGTAGGATCCATCAGCATTTACATACCCCGTATAACCATAATGATTGCCACCACCTTTTTTCATTGCTCTAAATTATCTTTAGATTTGAACTAGACATGACTTTCTATACCAGATTGACACAAAGTGGCTTCCGACAATACATTCATCGCCAACAATATAACCCTCGACGATGGCTCGCCACAAGTAGTCCCCAAACAGTGGCCTTCGATCCTCCTTCTCAGACGCCATTGACAAGCACTCTCCAAGCCAAATACTGGAAGAATATACCGTTCTGGAAAGATGTTTCACAGAATGAGTTTATCGACTACAACTGGCAGGTAAACACACCATGAACCATAGACCTATGTATCTCTCCTGACATCCATAGATTAAACACTCCCTCCAAAACGCAACTTCCCTCCTGAAATTCCTTGCTTCAGTTCTTCCATCTAGTATACCCTCGCCCTCAACGAACGGATATGCCACCCGTGAGGAATTCATCGCGGATGTTGCCGCAGGCATGAAACGAGCGCCTATGGCAATTAGGCTCACGCCGCATATCCTCTCGCTGGTCAACTGGGAGCAAGCTTATTCGGATCCTATCAGGCGGCAGTTCATCCCACTCGCTTCGTCGTTTCAACCGGATCATCCACGGTTGCAGTTAGATTCACTACATGAGAGCTTGGACTCACCTGTAAAAGGATTGGTGCATCGGTATCCGGATAAGGTGCTGTTTTTGGGTATGCTCATTCAGGTTTTATTGCACCTGAGTTGAAAGCGAAGAAAAGCACAAACTGACCTACCCAGCCTCTTCCGTGTGCCCCGTGTACTGCCGCTTCTGCACACGCTCGTACTCCGTCGGCACAAAGACCGAAACAGTCTTAAAGAAACGCTTTCTCCCGCTATGGAAGTATTGGGAGCCCATGTTCGAGTACATTGCGCGTACCCCCACCGTAACAGACGTCGTAGTCTCCGGAGGCGACTCGTATTTTCTCGAGCCCACACAACTACGCGAAGTATGTGAAGAACTCCTGAGAATTGACAACGTGCGCCGAATCCGCTTCGCAAGTAAAGGGCTATCCGTGTGCCCGTCCCGGGTCTTGGATATCACAGACGATTGGACGCAGACGTTAATTGAGGCCAGTAACCTGGGGCGAAGTAAAGGGAAGAGCGTGGCGTTGCATACGCATTTCAATCATTCGCAGGAGATTTCGTGGATTACGGAGCAGGCGGCGCAAAGGCTATTTGAGAATGCGGTTACGGTGCGCAATCAGACGGTTTTGTTGAATGGGGTTAATAATGATGTTGGGACGATGAAGGGATTGATTCGGCGGTTGGCTGATATAAATATCCAGCCGGTACTATCTCCTAATCCTCTCATTGCGCCGTGATTGCTAACCAATGCAGTACTACGTATATCAAGGCGACATGGTCCAAGGAGTCGAAGACTTACGAACACCGTTACGCGACATCCTCCACATTGAATCGCATGTTCGGGGTACGATTGCCGGATTCATGACACCTTCATTTGTGGTCGATCTTCCTGGAGGAGGGGGAAAACGTCTGGCACAGACATTCCAGAGCTATGATCAGAAGACCGGCGTGTCGCGATTCGTGGCGCCAGGGGTGAAAGGGGATACGGTTCATGAGTATTATGATCCGTTGTGGTCGTTGCCGTGAACTTATCAAGGCGTGATTGGTTTCATACATATATGGATGAGTCTATGAATGTGACGCCTTTACTCGTGCATATATGTATACATTCAACGTTAGGTTATCATTTGTTATATATGAGAACTTTTTTTTTGCAGAATGAATATTTGGTTGTCAGTGTTAGATACTAAGATCAAGACCAGTGATGGCGTTGTTAATTCTAATCTTTCATGTAGAAAGCATCATCGATATCATACTTGCTTAGGGTTATGGTTTAACCATATCGGAAAAGCAATTGGTTCATTCTTAGCAAAACTCCAGCCAACGGAAAAAACACGTTAAGCCATATGAACTTCTCTTGCAAGCTACGTATATCTCAAGATTCAGACGCCTCCCCCAAAATGATTCTCTCCACTGCATCCTTCTCTCCACTGCTCCCAACCAACCCGCGAAACACGCCGCCCTCAATCCCAATCAACTCCCGCGGCTTCCCAAACTCAACTGCCCTCCCCGCATCCATAACCAGAATCCTATCGAAATCCGCAACCGTACTCAACCGATGCGCAATAACAAGCAAAGTTGACGCGTTCCGGCCGAACTCAGAACGGATCGATCGTTGGATTAGCGCGTCGGTTTCCATGTCCACTGCGGATGTTGCCTCATCCAGGACCATCACTTTGGGGCGTGATACTATTGCGCGGGCGAGGCAGAGGAGTTGGCGTTGGCCTTGGGAGAGGTTGAAGCCACTTTCAGATATCGTGTCAGAGAGAGATGTGAAGAGGCTGTTGTTTTTTGTTTGGTTTTTGTGGGAGGAAGAAAGTGTCTCTGTTGTGCTTTTTGGGCTTGTAGTCCTTGTGATACGAGGCTGGGTGCTCGATTCAGATGCGAGGGTTTCTGTGTCTCCGAAAGAGATGAGGTTGACACGTTCCAATACATCGTAGAGTTCGGGATCGCTGTGTTCGTTAAATGGGTCGAGGTTGGATCGCACTGTGCCAGAGAAGAGCACTGGGTCTTGGGGAATGATAGCAAGACGACTCCGGAGATCATGAAGTTTAAGTTTTGAAATATCCAATCCATCAATGTAGATATGGCCCCATCGAGCCTCCAAAAAGCGGAACAGAGCCAGTGTCAAGGAGGATTTACCAGCCCCAGAACGACCAACGACGCCTACTCGTTGGTTCTTCTCCATTGTGAACGACAAACCATTGAGGATTGGAGGGAGATCTGGCGCATAGCCAACTACTAGGTCTTCGACTTCCACCTTGCCCTCTGTCGGCCAAGAGGCAGGTGCCTCCATTCCAGTTTGGTCCTCGATTTCAATATGTGAGTACTCGAGCACCCGCTCCGTTGCATTCATATCCAACTCAACATTCGCATACTGTCGTAAAACCATCACGATGGCACTATTGTACTGCAATGCAAAGCTTAAAGCAAACCCAGCAAGAGCAGCCGGGATGCTAGGGAAATAGACCACTAGGGCCGCGGTCATGGTCGAGAAAATGGCCCCGACAACGCTCATGCGGTAGTCCAACCACATATTGAACAGCCAGAGATACCACGCCGTCCGTGCGTGCACACTGATCTTCTCGTACATAATCCCAACATAGGTATCTGTTTTGTTAAAAGCACGGATGGTAATAAGCCCTGCAAGACTGGAGCCGAACTGTTCGAAGATAGGGCTCTTTGCGATGCTCTCCAGTCGCTTGACTTCGCGGGCCCCGGCGAGATACATCAGGGATAGCTTCAGACAAATTCCTAGGATCACAGTTGCGAAGATGATGACAAATGGAGAAACAGCCACTCCTGCTAATAAAATGCCAGTTATCTCCAACACGTTATGAATGAACAACCCAATATCATAACTGAGTCTCACATCAACCGCGTAGATGTCGGATGTAAACCGGTTTAAAATGCGGCCCAAAGGAACCGTATCGAGCCACCGCAGAGGCGCACGTAGCACAGCGTATGTCAGATCATTGAATAGGTTTTTAGACGCCTCGATTCCGGCTTTCATAAGGGTAAAATATCTGACTGTCCCTAGTATACAAGCCATGACGGAGATACCCACATATACAGCAAGGTAAAGAAAAAGATCCGCATCCGCTCTGACGGAGGCTAGGCGGTCCATGGTAATATCGATGCCCGAGTGATGATGATTTGAGTGCTCCTGGTTGCTGGACGAACTAGTCCATAGTTTCACCCACCATGACTAAAGTGATAATGTTATTAACAGGACATACCAAGTGTAGTGTGACTTACTCGTCCAACGATGAGGCAAGCATACAAAATGTATGCACCTAAAATAGAACACCAAAAGTATATACTGCCACCCTTCTTACAATAGGCAGCATAAACGGAAAGAGAAACCGACCCAGTGCCGTTCGCTTCATCCTGTACGAATTTTGGTGCTTCGGCCTCACTAATGTTCGCATTCCTGCTCCAGACAGAGTTCCGTCTGCTCTGTCGACTTGTGATTGAACTTCGCCTGCTAGCTACAGAGCTTCGTCTAGCTGTAGTTGATGTTCGGTTCCTGGTGCACGAGCGCACTTTGTTGGGAGCAGCCATAGGCTCGATGTTAGATTCATGAGGCGCGTTGCCAAGGGCCTGGTCCTCTGGTATCCCTGATTCTTCCAATAAAAGGAGTTCCGATAGGCTGTTGTTTTGTCGAAGCTCCTCAACCGTGCCAGAGTGCTTGACATATCCATTCTCGAGAAAAACTGAATAATCTGTATGCGAAAGGCAGAGAGTGGCGTGATGGGTGACAAGGATTCGCGTCCGTTTTTGACCAATCTCACCAGCCAGGGCATGGTTGTAGACATGACGGCCTGTATGAGCATCCAGCGCGCTAAAAATGTCGTCCATAATGAGGATTCCAGCCCGAGAATACAATGCTCTGGCGAACGATACCCGCCAACGTTGACCACCACTCAGGTTCACGCCATTTGCTCCAATATCTGTCATCTCTTTGTCCGGGAACATTTCAAGATCCTTGTCCAAGGCGCAAGCATAGAGCACCTTGCGATATCGTGTAGGGTGATATGGTAAACCGAATAGGATATTGTCTCGGATAGTCCCATTCTCAATCCAGGGAATTTGCGCAACATATGCGATTGCATTGTCGATAATCCATTCTGTACTCGAGATGCGACGGTCATATCGTACATTGAGCTGTGGAGACACAGGAACCTTAACCTTGCCTTGGAGGACGTCACACTCTCCAAGGATTGAGGCGAGCAAAAGGCTCTTTCCAGATCCAGTCTTTCCAGATATCACACTCAACCCTCTGGACGGGAAGTTCAAATTTAAATTGCGTAGCACAAAGCGCTCATCAGTATCCCAATCACCGTGATCTTCATCAGCAGGCCACGCGACTGACGCTGCCTCGAATGCTATTTGATTAGCTGGAATCGTGTTAACTGGCTTTTCCGGACTAGACATGTACTTGTCAATGCGACCAGAGCTAATCTTTGCTTCCAAGGCCTTCGACATCAGACCCGGCAAACTGGCCATTGAGAGTTCCAAGGATCCGAATATTGACATGGCAGTGAAAGCCACGGATGCAGTAAGCTCACCATAAAGCAATGCATACACCGTAAGAGAGGCAGCTGACAGCATTAAGGGGCCAAGGATCCAAGTGGATATGAGACCCGTGCTATATAGAAAAGAGGTCCAAAGAGACTGCAGCTCTGCATGCCGTCTTTCAGCGATCTTCTTTTCCCATTCCCCTTCGATTGCTGAGAATTTTATTTGTCGGATACCTTGGAGAACTTCAGACACTACTGCTAGTTTCAAATCTCGTAGCTTCATGAGGTCGTCCTGACACTTCGCATATCTTGTGGCGAGGTAGCTGTTGACGGGTATTACCACAGCTGCTACAACGAGCCCTGTCGACAAGCTCTTCCATCCGAGAAGACTTAGCAGGAAGGCGCAGGCAATCGTCAACCTAAGTATGGCATGCGGAATCAAATAACTGTAGCAAGCAAAATCGGCGACTCGTTTCGAATCAACTGCTGCATAATTTATGGTGCTCTGAAGCCCCTCCTGTGCTTCTTCATCCTCTTCTTCTGGTTCAAGTAGAGAGGCTGCTGAAGGATCTAGTGCGGATTCTTCGGGCTTATATGTCGATTTAGCATCCTTCACATCCTTTTTCCGCATAGACTTGGCGAACACCAGCGCTGCCAGCTCTTCGTAAATGGGGACGCCCAACTTTGAGTAAACGGTCCAGAAGAGCCACGAGTCGATACCTGATGATAGCAGCATAAAGAATCCCAGTGCTGACACCCATATCCATGATTGCGAATTATCCTGCGTGTCCCCTCGATCTTCTAAGCACTTTAGGATCCTATACAGAGCCACCTGTGGCCCAAAACTTAGAGCACAAGATACTAGGGCAAGCGTAAGCTGGAGAAGAAACGATCGCCAATGAGCAATAACGAGACTTGTCCATAAAGTATGGCCTGTTCTCACACGCTCAAATCGAGTATGAAGAGTTTCAGGGCGGACTGACAGAGGCAGAGCAGGCAAACTGTCAATCTCAAGGCTCTTGTTTTGAACCGCGTGCTGCAACAATCCATTGATCCAACTGAACGTCATCCGATGCAATATTGAAACTGAGTATTGTTGGTCAACTACCTTGCCCTCGTGATACACATCTGGACGGCGTGGAACTAGAAGGCAGCATATTCCACGCAGGAAGGCAACCACGATTTGCGTTACAACCAGCCCGATTGAGGGCTGATTGAATGATTGACGAGATATCAAAACTCCGATACTGACTTGTAGACATGGGATCAGGAAAGCCAATACGCTAGCGTAAAAGGCCAACTGGCTTTGAGCGAATCTTTCTGTGTGCAACGGCTCAACGAAGAGAGCAGCAGATTGAAGGACGAGGCACGCCTTAAAATATGACATAGATACGTCAGCACTCTCAGTTCAGCAATATCCGCCTCGCAAACTCAAGTACGCCAATGTATAAACTCACCCAAATGCCGATTTGGAGCCAGGATTGGACGACATAGTCTTCAATGCCGACGTGAACAGTGGTGGTGATAGCTAGGCTTAAAGCGATCTCAAATCCTGTTATAGAAAGAAGGCCGATCACCATTCGTTGCCATTTGACAGAGAATCTCCTCATAGACTCATCAGTCGCATCTCCGTCCTCATCTGCGTAGAAGGAGCTAGCCAGGCGTGTTCCATTGTGCTGGCTTGTTGTTGATGTCCCATCTAATCGACGAACAACGCTTCTGGCAGCAGCGGTACTACTAATCAAAATCAAGGACAAACCGATGTAGCCAGTCAGTAACGACAAAATCTCCGAATTCGATGCCATTCCTCATCACTCCTCACGGTTAGTACTAATCCTGAGACCAAATCTGAGACAAAAAAGTCATGGGAAATAGATTGGACGGAAGATGTTCCAGACGAAAGTACAGTAGTATGGTTGAACAGTAACGCCACTGCAGAAAATATGTCGCCTACACGCGATTGCATCACGGCATTCCTCTCCTTGCTTTGGCCTGTCCTCGAACTGAGCCGGCGGGCACCATTTGATGGCCGGAATCCTCTCATTATCTTGACCCGATGGGCACGGATCGATATGAAAATCGAAAAACTGTGCTTGAGATTCCAGTGAAGCCTATTGGATACCCACTCGGCGTATTCCGTACATAATATCCTGCGTTCCGGAGAATTTTGTAGTGAAGAAAGGAGTTAAAGGGATGGATCTGGGCAGCTGTTGACTCCTAGATGCCACATGTGGCCAATCATGTGAAAAGGCATGTCACGAGAGTAGCTTTGATCTATGCATTCTTCCGGGACTGTCCAACGTGAGTAGTTTACACGAAGCAGACAGAAATATGAGGCAGGCGTTTTCATGTGAATATATACTCCGTTATTAACCATGCACAGGATACTGCATATTTGTCTGAAATGTATATCTCCAGCTAAGCGCCCAGTCTGATGCATATTCATCCATAATGACATTCGAGACGCACCAAATGAGATTGACCTGGAATATTGTATAGAGTAGTAGATAAGACGTCGGAGACGTTAAGGTACCATATACACTAACCGCTTTTGAAAGCGGCACCGCATCAATGATTTTCCTTCGGAAAAACCCTTGATCGTTATCGGTGGATGGCAGAAAAGTAAATGGATGGTTTTCTCGGGCTTACTTGATTCTCGTCAATTACGTTCGTTAGGCCGGATATTTGGTGGAATACACTTTTCCTTTCAAGTGTCATGAAACCACAAATATCATCTCTGTCTTCTGCGGCACGGCTTTCCGCTCGGCCTCTCAACATTCCTCTATCCCACCGCGGAGTTCGCCATTATGCGCAGATAGCGTCGGTACGGGCAAGGCCCTCATTATCCCAATCGACTTGTCCAGTGTTGTTCCAGGATGGACGCCCAATGCAAAGAAGGTGGATTACAGAGGCTTATATCCAGCGAATGAAAGATGCTGAGAAGCAATGGAAAGAATGGGCGGGGGAGATCAAGGCCGGGGAGAGACTCAGTTTTGTGCAGCATCTGGAGCAGAGAGAACTACTGCATGATGTCGTCGGGTGCGTGCAGCATGCGATTATTACAATTCATTAATTCTGGGCGAGGACTCCATGCTGACTTTGGACTTGCCTAGGGAACGCGATCTTCTACACAAAGTCTTCACCGAGAAGCGAGTCGGCCTCTACGCCGGTATAGATCCAACCGCTCCTTCGTTACATATTGGGCATATGTTACCGTTCATGGTTCTAGCGTGGGCCTACGTCTGGGGCTTACCCGCGGTGTTTCTAGTCTGTGACCCTTTTGTGTTGGAAGTCTTAGCAAGTGTAACTGACCCCGATACAGCTTGGCGGTGCCACATCTCGAGTCGGTGATCCGACGGGCAGATTGCAAGGGAGGGAGCAAGTGCAATCCTCTATACGGAAGGCAAACATGGCAGCCATGCACATGCAACTGAAGAAGCTAGGTGCGAGCATTGAGAGATATGGTCAAAGACACGGGTACGAGACCCAACGGATCTGGAGGCGATCACTGGTGAACAACAACGTATGGTGGAATAAAACATCGTTCATTGAGTTGCTACGGGACTTGGGCGCTTTCATGCGGCTTGGCCCTATGCTGGGCAGAGACACGTAAGTTGATCGCTGTGATTGTCCCCTGTTTCTGAACATGCGCTCATCTAATAACGTCTAGAGTCAAAACTAGACTAACGAAAGGCGACGGTATGTCTTTTGCTGAATTCTCATACCCTCTTATGCAAGCATGGGATTGGTGGGTTTTGTTTAGAAAGGGTGTCCAGGTCCAGGTGGGAGGCACCGATCAGTACGGTAATATCCTCTTTGGTATGGAAGCGGTCAAGTCGATCAGCAGGAATACGGCAAACGAGCAGGACCGGAACAGTCTTGAAAAGGACGTGGACAGACCAATCGGTTTGACCACGCCATTACTGACTACTTCGTCTGGCGAGAAACTTGGAAAATCCGCTGGCAATGCAGTTTGGCTTGATAAGGACATGACGTCCACCTTTGAACTATATCAGGTTTGCAGCTCGTCCACGTCCTTCTCAACAAACCAGCACTGACATGGCCACCAGTTCTTCGTACGAATTCCTGATGACGTCGTTGAACGTTATTTGAAAATGTTCACGTTCCTACCCTTACCAGAGATCGCCAAGATCATGGAGCAACAGAAGAATGACCCATCAAAGCGTGTTGCACAACATGCTCTGGCTTTCGAGTTTGTGGAGCTCATCCACGGAAAACAAGAGGCAGAAGCCGTATCCGTACAACATCGTCAGCTATTCCGCCCACGGGTGTCGACAGCTGAACCGACTCCTCTGGCCCAAGCTGGGAGACAACCACCAGCCGGCCATTTCAGATCCCCCACAGCGAGTTTTGTCAACCCCCAGGCTGGGAACCAGTACGCCCCCCAAACTAATTTCTCGAACATGCCGTCTGTAAATGTCACTCTTCCGCGGTCCCTTGTCTACGACCAACCTTTCAACCGGGTCTTGTGGCATGCGGGATTGGTGTCGTCAAAGAGCGAAGGCCACCGCATTATTAAGAATGCGGGAGCATATGTGGGATCCCGCCCAGGCGAGAGCGGGCCCATGTCGGATGAATTATCATTCACGCCCATCAAGCCATGGACGGCTAACAAAACAGCAGAATTCATTCATGGTGAATCTCTGTTGATCTTGAAGCTGGGCAAGTGGAAATTCAAGCTGGTCAACATCATCAGTGACGCAGAATTTAGAGAACGCGGGCTTACTGCGCCTGGATGGGAATCACAACAGGATGAAAACTGACCAGAAGGAATCTAAACAAGAACATGATACTCTACTTTCTCTTATGACTTTGTGTATTTATAGACTTTGCACATATCCGAATGCATGTACCATAGCATAGTGGCGTATCTCTGCTCTTTTCATTGTGTCTTTTTATTTCTTGACCTGTCTCTGTATTGTACGGAGTATAAATTAAACGATTAATATTATTGATTAATATTATTACAGTATTTTAATAATTTTTTTTTCTTTTCTTTCTTTGTCTTTTTTAATATGTCTTTTTTCCCTAGCAGGTGTAGACATGCCATGTACCGTACCTTGTACACGGTAAAACCACTAAACGCGTCCGACGCGCGACGCCCTTATCAATCACATCTCCGCCCTGCAATCTCTCTTCCTCCCACAGCACCGGACCGCTCGAGTCTGTTTCTCAGTCTTCCATCGCATTGAAGCTAGAATTATAAGACTGTATTGCTTTAGCTCTCAAATGCTTTTGTCAACGTTTTAATTATTTCCATCCTCCGCAATGGCCAAAGGAACCCCCGCCGCATCCTCGCCCACGACCGCGACGCCTCCGTCCGCAGCGCTCAAAAAAACAACCTCCAGCGCGCAGAACATGAGAAGTCAGAAGTCTATCCTCGGATTTTTCCAGAAATCATCTCCCTCGACACCGTCTTCTGCTGTTCGATTCCCAGAGCCCGCGTCTTCGCCAGCAGAACGTGTCTCAGAGAACCGGGGGGCGAACGCTCCGAAAGAGGCTTCGACAGGAAAGAAGAATGGACTGAAGTTTTCGCAGAAATTGACACCTGTGCCGAGTAGTGATCTGGGTGAGGTTGACGAGGATGAAGAGAAGGTTGCAGATGGACAGGTGTGTTCTGCGTTACGGCCGTGATGGTGATTTAAAAGCTGACCAGTTTCGTTTAGCTGCGGACGAGTCCTGTTCAACCCAAAACTTCTAGTTCCCCTCCACGTCGAGTAAGTGAAATTGATTGTCCATTATATCGTTATCCTCTAATCCTCATATTTTCAAGTCCAAGAAGCAGGTCAACTACGTCGAGTCCGATTCCGAAGGAGAAGATGATGACGATCAAATCTTCGGCCCCAATCGGAGGAACAGTCGGCTTAATAAGAGAAGAAAAACCTCTCCTGAAAGTGATGATGATTTCAAACAGGATGGAAATGATGATGATGATAATTCTGACGAAGGTCAGTTCATGCGCTCTTTACACTCTACATCTAAAAGAAGGTGCTGACGGACTTAGAAATGGACGATTTCGTAGTTGCGGACGAATCGGACGAGGACGCAAAGCCATCGAAAAAGCGCAAGAGACCCACGAACCGAAAGGCACCGAAATCATCACCGCCGCCGTTTGAGCCAACGCCGGCCGACGAAGAATTGGATCTGGAAATCCCAGATGCTCCATCTGGATCAACCATGAAGTGGACATATGATCCAGACAATCTCGAAGCTCGCCAACAGCGCACTGCTCCTACTTCCAAGACTCCTTCCAGCGCCGTCAAGCAAAAGGCACATCTTAAAGAACCCGAGGAACGTTATTCATGGCTTGCAAATCTTCGGGATATGGACGGTCACCCTATTGGTCATCCAGAGTACGATCCTCGCACTCTTTATATACCTCCGCTGGCATGGTCCAGATTCTCTCCTTTCGAGAAGCAGTACTGGGAGATTAAACAAAAGTTTTGGGACACTGTTGTCTTCTTCAAGAAAGGAAAGTTTTACGAGTTATATGAGAATGATGCCACCATCGGCCACCAGATGTTTGATCTTAAGCTCACTGATCGAGTGAACATGCGTATGGTCGGTGTTCCTGAGATGAGCTTGGATTATTGGGCCAACCAATTCGTGGCTAAGGGCTACAAGATAGCTCGTGTGGACCAATCTGAGTCTGCCTTGGGCAAAGAGATGCGTGAGCGAGACGGTAAGAAGAGTGGTGGAAAGGAAGACAAGGTCATCAAGCGAGAGTTGTCTTGTGTCCTCACTGCAGGTACCCTAGTTGAAGGGTCGATGCTCCAGGACGACATGTCCGTGTTTTGCGTCGCTATCAAGGAGGCCATCATTGATGATCTTCCTGCCTTTGGGCTTGCTATTGTCGACACGGCGACGGGTCAATTCTCTCTGTCTGAGTTTGTCGACGATGTGGACATGACCAAGTTCGAGACATTCGTCGCGCAGACCCGCCCACAGGAATTGCTTCTCGAGAAGTCAACAATCTCCCAGAAAGCACTGCGGATACTGAAAAATAACACCGGTCCCACAACCATCTGGAACTACATGAAGCCCGGGAAGGAATTTTGGGAGGCTGATATTACCATCAGAGAACTTGACGTGAGCGAGTACTTTGTCTCTCAGGACGACGAGAACATTCAAGCGTGGCCCGAGGCACTTCGACAAGCTCGGGAGAAGGAGTTGGTGATGTCTGCTTTCGGAGCCATGGTGCAGTATCTTCGTATTCTGAAGTTGGACCGCGACTTGATCACCATTGGAAACTTCTCCTGGTACGACCCGATCAAGAAGGCATCTAGCTTGGTCCTGGATGGTCAAACGCTCATCAACATGGAGATCTTTGCGAATTCCACTGATGGTGGTTCGGACGGCACTCTTTTCCAGCTGCTGAACCGCTGTATTACCCCTTTTGGAAAGCGAACTTTCAAGCAATGGGTTTGCCATCCTTTGGTGGATGCGAAGAAGATTAACGCCCGATTGGATGCTGTCGATGCTCTCAATGCTGACCCGAGCGTCCGTGACCAATTCTCTTCTCAGTTGGTCAAAATGCCTGACCTGGAACGACTTATCTCCCGCATTCACGCTGGCAACTGCAAATCCCAGGACTTTGTGCGTGTATTGGAAGGATTCGAACAGATCGAATACACCATGAGCCTTCTCACTGACAGCGGCTCTGGCGAAGGTGTCATTGGACAGCTCATCAATTCCATGCCTGACCTGGGTAGCTTGCTCGAGTATTGGAAGACAGCATTTGACCGCACCAAAGCCAAGGAGAACGGTATTCTAGTTCCAAAGGCAGGCGTCGAGGAAGACTTTGACAACTCTCAGGAGTTCGTCGAGCAATTGCACAGTGATCTAGATAACCTTCTGAAGAAAACACGGCGAGACCTTGGCTCGAGTGCGATTTGCTACAGGGACAATGGAAAAGAAATTTACCAGCTCGAGGTTCCCATCAAGGTGAAGAATATCCCCAAGAATTGGGACCAGATGTCCGCAACGAAACAGGTCAAGCGGTACTACTTCCCTGAATTGCGATCTCTCATTCGCAAGCTACAAGAAGCCCAAGAAACACATAGTCATATCGTGAAGGAAGTCGCTGGTCGATTTTACGAACGTTTTGATGAACACTACGCCACCTGGCTCGCGGCCGTGAAGATTGTGTCGCAGCTCGACTGTCTGATCAGTTTGGCCAAGGCTTCAGCGTCGCTGGGCGAGCCAAGTTGCCGACCGGAGTTTGTCGACAACGAGCGAAGTGTTCTTGAATTCGAGGAGTTGCGCCATCCATGCCTGCTATCTTCCGTTGAGGACTTTATCCCGAATAACGTGCAACTGGGAGGAGAACAGCCCAATATTAACTTGCTTACCGGAGCTAACGCTGCCGGAAAGTCAACAGTCCTCCGAATGACTTGTGTAGCTGTTATCATGGCCCAGATCGGCTGCTATCTGCCCTGCCAATCTGCCCGCTTAACGCCTGTTGACCGTATTATGTCTCGTCTGGGCGCTAACGACAATATCTTCGCCGCCCAATCGACCTTCTTCGTCGAGCTCTCCGAAACAAAGAAGATCCTTGCAGAAGCTACCCCTCGCTCTCTGGTTATCCTCGATGAGCTGGGCCGTGGAACCAGTTCCTACGATGGTGTCGCCGTCGCCCAAGCCGTCCTGCACCACGTCGCCACGCACATTGGCGCCATGGGTTTCTTCGCAACGCACTACCACTCCCTCGCAGCAGAATTCGAAAATCACCCCGAGATCTCCCCCAAGCGCATGAAAATTCATGTCGATGACGAAGAACGACGCGTCACCTTCCTATACAAACTGGAAAGCGGCGTCGCGGAGGGAAGTTTCGGTATGCACTGCGCTGCTATGTGCGGTATTCCCGATAAGGTTATTGAATGTGCGGAGGTTGCTGCTAAACAGTGGGAGCATACCAGCCGTCTCAAGGAGGATTTGGAGCGTCGTAAGGGCGGTGGATTTATTGGTCTTGGTTGGTGGAGTGATGTTGCCTGGGCTCTGAAAGAATCGACTGGTGAGAGTGAAGGGGAGGGTAACGAGGATATTTCCGATGCTGGGTTGGAAGTCCTTCGCAAGGCTATTGAGACTTTGTGATTATGATCATGGTTTGTCTGGTTTATTATGTTGCCTTTCTTTTTTAAAGATTTGAGAGTGCGGTGCTGGATATAAAGTCACTTTCTGCGGTTGTTTGTGCTAGGGTCCTAATTTACTCATATTTGAGTCATATCCGTCATATTCATGTAACAGACAGTTAGAATAGAACCTGTTGATCGATATACTTCTACTTTCTCGCCTGAAAAATAGATGGCACACATCATTAAACCCCTAACCCTTCCAACATAAATATCCCAGCTAACCAATGACCTAACGAACAACACAGCCCTAGTGAAAACCTCAAAACGCAATCTAGTATCAAATCCCAAGACAACCCAGCGATGACATCAAAGCCCAACGCTCAAGCCGTACTATTCTCTAGCTCGATATATGGAAACAATTCATCTTCCATTTTCATGGGGCGCGCGGAGGGGGTGTCAGGCTCGCCAATACTACCAATCATACACAGTTAGTGACTTACCCCAGCAAGAACATTTAAACAAACACCAACGAGAACAGACCTCTCATTCTTGACCTCCTTCACTTTAGCCTCCTTCGCAGGAGTTCGCTGCTTCTTTGGCTTGGTGGGCGATTCCTCGACACCACCGTTGGTGTCCTCACTATCGTTGGCGGCGGTTTTGCGCTTGGTAGGGGTTTTCTTCGGAGTCGTAGAGGGCGTAGCGTCGGGAGTACTGCTCGCACCACCACCATTCGCGGGATTCGTAGCGATATACTCAGCCAACTTGCGCTTCGCGTTACGGTAGACAGTGTTCGCAGTGGCGCCGTTCTTGTAGCCAGACATCTGAGCAAGTTTTTCGTAATCCATCTGTTTTGGTTGTCAGGGCAAGGGTTCTTATTTAGGATAGATTTGATGAAGCTAGTTTGGTGGGTGAGAGAGGCGGACCTTCTGCTGTTCGCTCGCGAAGTAGCTAGCCAAGAGCATAAGCTTTGTTTCGCTGGGTGACAGGCCCAACGTGGCGTTGGATTTGGCTCTTCCGGACATGTTTGGTGGTTTTGGAGGCCAGGGATAGAGAAGAAGGTTGGAATCGTAGGATCCGCAGCTTTACTCGTACAGCTGGGCGAGAGAACGATGGGGTTTTTGAGGAAGTGGAGAAGAGGGGATTCAGGAAATACTATGTGCCCATGGTGAAAGAGCAGGACTGAGAAGTACCCAGTGAATGATTGAAATGACGAAGCCCCAGGCTACAACACAAAGACTGGTGTATAACTGCATTCACCAGCACTGAAACTGTCAATATGTTCCTATGCATCACTAGGAAGAGAAGAGGTTCATTATATTCATTCAACGTTTCTTTGACACATTGCTCTGTATCTGCCTGTATACATGCCCCCACAGCTCAGGATAAAATGTTGTAGACTGTTTCCCTGATTGGCTCTTCTCCATCGTCCAGAACTGTTTTAACGTGCTTCCTTTCCACCAAGGCAGCGGAGCAGGATTCCGGTTTCGAAAGCTCACGGGCCGTAGCAACGCCTTGTCCGCAACGAGATCGCCCACTCGCACTTCTGTCTGACGGGGGATGGTGGTGAACTTCATGGTGTTGATGTAGAGGGTAGCGGTAGGGGGGAGGGTTCTTGCGTATTGGATTGCTTGTTCGCGAGAGCGACGGGCGAAGACAGGGAGGGCTAGGTGGACGAAGTTGACGAATGGGGCGGAGGTGTAGGCGACGAAGAGCATGGGAATCGTGCCTCCGGCGACCACTAATACCAGTGTCAGCTTGCATTTCCGAGGAGATCGGAGAGTGCAGATCGGTTCTTACCAGCAGGAGCTAGGTACCACGGGTATTCATCAGCGGCAAAGGCCGGCGCAACGAGGAGACATGATGCGCCGAAGAGGAATATGGTGGTCAATCGTAGCATTCCCAGGAAAAGTGTCCGACCCGTTCCTCCATGATAGATCAGAATGCGCTCCGGTGGTCCTGTATAGACGCAAGTCAACATGAAGCCCAAGCTTTATAGGTGTGTCGTTCGTACCTCGTCGGATAGCGGATTTTGCATGCGCGGCCGGAGATGTACCCGGAGTACGCAGGCCAGCTGGGGAGCCATCTTTTGTCTTCAACAGAGGAGCTTCTTCTTTTGGGGTTCGAGGGGTCTTTAGAGTTGGGGAATTTGTCGTCGTCTTTAAGCGGGCAAACAATCGGCTGCTGAGATCCCTCCGCACGGTCTGGGGTAACGAAGTGCGCAACTGCGGATGGAATAACAGGAGAGTTGGTCGCATGGCAGACATTTTATTTGGGGATGGATTAATCGCAATCCAATTGACCCAACAGTATAAAGAGAAATCAATTCTCTAAGGACCAAGCGCGGAAAAGAAACGCCCTCCACCGCGGAACTACAGATTTCCCCGTGACCGCGGAGGCTTGGCGCTTGTGCTTTGTATCAACATTCAATATTCGGTGTCTCTCTTCCCTTCATACTCTCGACTTGACACGTCCATATGATATATATTGCCCCTTGAGCCCGTATATTATCCCCTCTTCGACTAACGAGAGCTCCGGGCCATGAACAGCTCTCGATTGCCCTGCTAACTCGCCATGTCGTCGGCTTACGGTGGCCTCCTACGGCCGATTCTATTGACAGCTATCTTCTTGCTCTCCGTGATACTACCCGGACATGCCTATGAATCTCTCTCCGACGAAACCCTTAAAGCTCTCCCCCGACCTAATAATGACTTTGACATCAACACCGGCGCCCTTCTATCTCCCATCCTCGTACCCCGTGTCCCCGGGACCTCAGGTCACACCGCCGTCCTAAACCACTTTGCGGACTTCTTCCGGACGAGTTTGCCCAAATGGAGGGTGGAGTATCAAAACTCAACACAAAAAACACCAGTTTCGAAAGGCAAGGAAGTCCCGTTCGTCAATTTCATCGCAGCGCGAGACCCGCCATGGGCTGCGGTTGGTGATGTAGGACGGCTTACGTTAGTCGCGCATTACGATAGTAAATACGAGCCTGAGGGGTTCATTGGGGCGATCGATAGTGCCGCGCCATGCGCTATGATTATGCATGCCATGCGGAGCATTGACGAAGCATTGACGCGGAAATGGGAGAAGATGGAGGCGGAGGGTCATGCGGATGCGTCGCTGGAGGAACAGAAGGGGATACAAATAATTCTTTTGGATGGAGAGGAAGCGTTCGTTCAATGGACTGCTACTGATTCATTGTATGGGTCGCGCGCCTTAGCGGAGTATTGGGATAATGAGGTGAATCCCGCCATGTCATCGTTCAAAACACCATTGAACTCAATTTCTCTGTTCGTCCTACTGGATCTCCTGGGATCGAACGATCCGGCCGTACAGTCTTACTACCAGACAACGCACTGGGCTTATCGAAACCTCGCGACTATAGAGCAACGTCTTCGGGATCTCAAGCAGTTCAAATCAGTTGATAGCCAGCGGTGGTTCATCGACGGCTCGAAGGACGATCACACCCTCAAAACATACGGTGGCATACAAGACGACCATATACCATTTTTACACCGCGGGGTGGAAATCCTGCACCTTATTGACGCTGCTCCGTTCAAGGGATTCCCTAAGGTCTGGCATACCATGGATGACAATGCTGAGAATCTGGACATGAATACCGTCGAGGACTGGAGCATGCTCGTCGCGGCGTTTGCGGCGGAGTGGATGGAATTGGAGGGATTCTTCGAACCTGCTTCTGGAAAGCGAGGTAATGGGAAACGCTCTGCGAGCGATGATTGGGACAAGACTGAGCTGTAAGCCTTTCCTTTCTTGCTCTCTTGCTGAATTGAATCCTCTTCATATCTTCTTTAACCATTGTATATTTCATATGCATGACTCTGGCAATTGTATATACAGTGAACCGTGCTGATCTCAATTAATTTACAGCTCTGACCAGTAGTACCTCTTGCAATCAAGCCTCTAACGTTGAAGTACATATCACAATAATTTCAGGCCATATTCATTTAGGCCCGTCAATCCTTGCCCTAATACCCAGGCAGTTTGTATAGGATATCTGTAGCCATATTATCATCTTTATGAAATTTAATAATTTCTCTACTATCCATGTGCCACTTCCTTGCATGCAATTGGGTAGTCATGCTACTGAATTGCACTGTTAGATAGCACTTTTCCAACATCAAGATTTTATCGCCAGCCATGAGTAGCTACATAGTTGGATCCTGCACAATTTGACTATTTTGAGGTATGCAAGTTAACGTTAGCATGGGGCGGGGTAGCGTTGTTATTTCAGCTGGCGATGCCCACACTCATACATCACGTTTAATCCCTTTTCTACATTCACCACGCCAGAAATTTTTGACCAAATGCACCTACTCAACCGTTGCCTTTGTTTCTTGCGGCACCAACAGTTGCAAATGCGAGTTCGTCATCTAACCTCCCGGAACCGTTATCCAGATTCCTTGCCGCCGATAGCATCTTTGAAAGAAGCATCAATAAATTAGTAGAAGTTCATGTCCCCCTAGCGTGGAGAAAAGCAGAAGAATTAACCCGCAATGTCCGTCATATTCCTCCCTCTATATGCCACCGGATGCTAATGTTACACTAGACTGCTCACTAGAGTGTTAAGAACCCCGGTTCAGTTATTTTTGCGGTTGTTGGGACTGGGGGTGCTACGGCTGTTGCTGCTCCAAGCATAGTATCTGCGTCGATACTATCTTCACTAGGGTTTGGTGCTACCGGAGTCAAGGGTTGTAAATGTTGAGATATTTACAGATACCTGTCTTTCCAAGTCTAATAGGGATTTAAATGAGTCTAGGCTCGCTCGCTGCTGCCATACACAGTATCATCGGGAACGTCGGAGCTAAAAGCTTGTTCGCAGTTGGTCAGAGTGCTGGAACCGGTGGCACTGGGCTCTCTATCATGAATGCAGTTATACAGGCTGGAGGTGCTGTTGCAGTTGTTGTTAGCGGTGGAGTAGCAGGGTTTAAGTCGATTTGTAACTGAGGCCAGTATTTACGCTGAAGTTCGTTCAGTGAGTACTACGGAGCTGTGGGCAGTTAACATCCATGTTTTAATGAATCCTATCTCTGCTGCAACCGATTAGATATCACGGCTTCGTATTTCTCGGGAATCCGGGAACAATTTCAAAGCGCCTAGCTTAATATGACATGAATCGTAGCAATTCAAGCCATATGATGATCAGGCATGAAGCTCACCAAAATGGACCCCGGCCTAATGAGAGAATACAAAGCGAAAGTGACACCTTAGGCCTATAATTTGCAGTGTTCGTTAACATTTTGCCAGATTTTCAATGGGAACGTGTCAATTCTCTGGGAATCTCTCATGACTTCCTCATAATCACCTTGGATGATTCCCTGTCTGTGTCTCAATACATTATGTCCCCCATCATTTGTCCCAACTAGCTACCAGTCTTGAATGAAAACCAGAAGGGCTATATAGTACTGTTTGGCGTAGTGTACTGACAAATGGACGAAGCTATGAACCGATGATCTTATTTTTTCCAATTCCTCATCATACAGAAGCCACCATAGTCATCAATAATCTTCTATGGGCCAACACTAGTTCCCAAGATTCTACAAAGACCAATGCCACTTCGCCCCCATCCTCTGGAAGTATCCAAACAACGCCCTCTTAGGCACATATCCATGATAAGTCTTCTGCCACCTTGCCGCCCATGAACCCAAGGAGACACCTGATTCTGTAAATCCCAGCAGCTCCAACACCCACGGCAGCAAAACAAACAGGATCCCCAGCGCAATCAAGGTCGCGTACACCGGATGGTCCTTTTTAAAATCGATGGCTGCATCGGTGGCCTTTTTCAAGGCGTCAGCAGCAGGACGCGCCAAGGCTGCGCCAGCTTCAACGGCAGTCGTTAAGCCTCGGAGAATGGCTTCAACAAGGGAATCGGTCCAGCCAGTCACGGCGACCTGTTCGTTGACCGTTTTTTGGAGCTCGACGGTCGTAGGAGATGTTAGAATAGCGGTTATGATGTTCGACGCGGCATGGTTAGTGGTTGTTGTTAGGCTGGATGTATCGGCGACGTCGCCGAAGAGGCAGGGGAGGATGGAACTGAGGAATGACATTTCGGGCGTTCAGGCTCGGGAGGGGAGATGCTCTTTTTCAGAAACTTGATGTTGAAAGGATAAGGGGTGGGACGCTGCGTTGTTCGACGCTTAAGAGAGTACATACCTACACGTGATTCAACATGCATCAACCACGTGATGAGACAAAGGTACGTGATATCGTGCCTAATATGAAGCGTATCGCTGTGAGTTAGATTCTTCGTAAACTAGAGACTTCGTGAAGCCCGGTGAGGTTCGTTGAGTGACTGATAAACATAGTGCTTTTGGTGGACCGCAAGTATCATAGTGCTAATTGTTCTAGAGAAATGAAAATATGGCAGTCCAAGAATACCAGAATGAACACGCCATCGAATTCATAACGGAGTTAGGGCACATCATCTATCCAGTTCCGGGGTAGACCCGGTTACCCCACATTTCAGGACTCAGGAGTCACCACAAAGTTCTTCTATCGCCGCCTCCGCTCTGAATGCCCTAGGAAGCTGCAGGATATAGAGAACTGAGTAGACAAGAAAAAATTATTACCTTGTTGATAAGGATGATATAAGGAATGACCCTAGAGATCTTGGGGTTCATCCGTATTCGATGCCATGGCCTGGAAGATTCCTCGCGAGACCGTGCTTCTCGAGCAATAGCTCTAATTTGAAATGTAAAACATCGCTTGAGCTCTTAATCTTCACGATAGAGCAAGTAGCACCGAAGGTAAAGAGCAGAGCTGACCAAAAAGGACAAGAATACTGCAAAGAAGTAAAAGTGGTGTACAAAAGTGCGGAAGGCTGTATATAGTACTGGTATATTTTACGATCTTTCCTCTGTCCTAGAAGTATAATTTCAGGCTGAACCTCCCCTCATAATGAAACTGATGTTCCAATTGTCACAGCAAGTTCCCCAACATGTACCCTGCCATCTGTACAACACCCCAAGTCGGCTGCAGCACTGTTCGCAAAACAGCAGGCCCCGGGCAGACACCTCGTAATCCCCAAGCGAGCCCGAAACCCACGGCACCAGTCACGAACCGCCAGTCAATATCTGCCACAGTAGCAGTAGGAAGTCTCCACTGTTCAGCGAGGGTAGGCTTGGTAGGCTTGCCGTCATTTTCATCTCTATGTTGTCCGGGTTTCGCAAATAAGTAGGTGATAAGCGACGGGCCAATTCCAAAGAGAATAATCAAGGCCAACGAAGGATCGAAACGGGAAGGATCCGTAAGGAACGCAAAAAATCGGAGTACTTTCGCGGGATCCGCCATCCCGGAGATAAACAAGCCCAGACCAAACTCCAGACCCGCCAGATACGAAAAGACTGTTTGGGATTCCTCCGATCGGTTAAGCGACTTGGGGACGATGGAGTAGTTGGTGATGCCGGCAAGGATAGTCGCGGCTGCCATGAATCCGAGTTCAGGGATTGATGGGTAGATCGGGGTATAGCAAGGGATGCCATTTGCGCAAGCAGGAATGTTCTGGCCTCCGTTGACGAAATTGGCTGTTAGTAGAGCAGTGAGAAAGAAGACAGCTGTTGCGATCAACGAGCGAGGTGATAGGCGAGAGAGGCCACAGAGCATGTGGCCAGAAGTGCAACCACGGCCGTTCTAAGAACACTTATCAGCCAGCACCTCCTCATTATGATATTGGTTTCATACCTTAGTTCCCCATCCCAACAAAAACCCAACACCTAGCGTAGATGCTATAGAAGCCCACGAGCTCGGAGCCGCAGGATATGTCGGTAGCAATGACGGTGCGAGCCAGTAAATCGGGACTGCACTGGACACAAGGCCCGCGATTATAGGCAAATTATAGCGATTTGGGTTGAAAATAATCCCTGCGAGAAGCGAGGAGATTCCAAAAACGGCTCCGTTGTGTAGTAGAAGGCCCGAGGAGCCTTGAAATAGCAGGAGGGCACCTAGGGAGGTATGCACCGGGGTGAACATTATGCGATAGCCGACTCAAGTCATTTATTCACAAAATCGCCAGTGTGCAGACAAGTGTCGTGTTGTACTCATAGTATGTTGATTTTTCGGTATGAAGAAAGGGAGAGTCGCCGATGACGGTTTCGGGGACCATAGCGATGATCCCCGAAGGAGAACGGGTTCCATGGGTCGGTGTCCTCACTACTATCAACTAAACTTCATGATTTGCGAGGAATCTTGATTCTACTTGAATTGACACCTCCGCTGCCCTCATAGTCCTCTGCAAGGGAGTTGGAAGATCTCGGAGAATTCATGGCGTCATGCTTTGCTGGCATTATCTCAGACCAAAAAATGGGCGTCCTGAAGATCATGTATTATCAGTTTAATGCATGAAGAGATCGGTCCGAGAGAAAATGGACAGATTGGGGTAAGAATGAAGATTGAACAGTAAGGAGGAAGATGAAACAAAGACGAAGACGAGGTTGCAGGGTTACATGGGGGAGCTTCAACCCTATCACCCAGGTCACGGGGTCTGCATCAGGGAAGTCTTTTCAACTCTATGCTACTTGTATCTCTAGTAGCACCGCCTGGGACATATGCCCACCCTGGTGCACAGGGTGACACTATTCGACTCGTGATGGTGGCACGCACAATGACATGGTTTGTAACCTGTCACACTCGGGTCTGGGGAGGATGCTACCAGCAATTGATGGCCAATAGAGAGCAGGTCTACGGGCATGCATCAAAAGATGATGCTTTACTTTGTTTAACAATGGATTGCGGTGATTATTGGTTCTCTGTCGTCTCATGCTGTCGACAGCACGCCCGAGGCGCAATCAAGACATTCTTGATCATGAAAGATGGAATAGATATGTATAAATCTGTCTTTTGAATGACTCTCCTGGGGACCTTTTCTCCAGTATGTTGGAGCAGGTAGTTGACACAAATACCGTTGCTGAATTGATATCTACTACAGAATCCCGAGAGGTAACCGTATGTTTACGCAGACAAGTACATATTACATGCTAAGACAGTTCATGAAGATCACATGTTTCGAGATTTTCAAAGTCCGCCAATCGAGAAGCTCATAGGACTCTCTTACTTTTCTGCGTCCTCAAATGGACAAGTCATTTGATGTGGAGTGATTTGGGAGCGGGATACCGGAGTATTTATTCACTTCTATCTTGATTTGGGAAAGACGTTCAGTTATCAATTCCACCAATACCCCCAATCTACCATTGAAACTAAGACAGCAAAATGAGCAACAATACGCTCATCCAAGCCTGCCTCCTGGCTGCTTTAGGGTTCAATTCGACCCGTGTGAAATTTCCAGAAGCCGGGACCATCGACGCTGATCCGTACAACCTCGACCTCCCCATTGTTCCAGCTGCAATTACCGTCCCGAGATCAACAGCACAGGTCGCCAATGTTGTCAAATGCGCAGCAAGTAATGGCTACAAAGTGCAGTCCAGAAGCGGAGGTCATAGCTACGGTAATCACGGTGCGTTTAATTTCCCTGGCCCAAAGTCATTAATGAGGACCTGACTGAATTGAGATACTTCTATGATAGGGCTCGGAGGCACGGACGGCGCCATCGTGGTTGATTTGAAAGATCTCAAACAATTCTCCATGGATGAATCTACATATATCGCTTCCATAGGATCAGGAATGTTGCTGGACGAAGTCACTCACAAACTCTACGACAACGGCAAGAGAGCCATGGCGCATGGAGTCTGCCCCCAAGTGGGAGTCGGTGGCCATTTCACCATCGGAGGTCTCGGACCAACCGCGCGACAGTGGGGAAGCTCTTTGGATCACGTCGAGGAGGTTGAGGTTGTATTGGCAAATTCCAGCATCGTTCGGGCGTCAAATACGCAGAACCAGGATGTTCTCTTCGCGATCAAAGGAGCCGCTGCTAGTTTTGGGATCGTTACGGAATTCAAGGTACGGACCGAGCCAGCACCTGATGTCGCTGTGCAATATACCTACGAGCTGATCCTGGGGAATATAACCGAGCGAGCCAGAATTATGGTAGATTGGCAAGATTTCATCTCGGACCCCGATCTTTCCCGGAAATTCGCATCAATCATGATTGTTTTCGAACATGGTATGCTTCTCAGCGGTGACTTTTATGGCTCTAAAAAAGAATTCGACGACCTTGGTCTCGCAGACCGCTTTCCAATTCGCAAGCCGGGGAATGTTGCTATCTTAACCGATTGGCTAGGCATGACAGGTCATGCAGTAGAAGAGCTTGCCCTAGGCATTGTTGGTGGAATACCGCTTCACTTCTACGCCAAGTCAATGGCATTCACCCGAGACAGTCTCATGTCTCCATCAACATTCGAAAAACTCTTTGACTATCTCGACAACACCGACAAAGGCACACTCCTATGGCTCATTTACTTCGACTTACAATCAGGAGCCACCAGTGACGTTCCAAACAATTCCACTGCCTATGCTCATCGTGATACGCTATATTGGCTACAATCTTATGTCGTCAACTTGGTGGGCCCTGTCTCTAATACGACTACTGCATTCCTGGAGGGAATTAACAATCTCATTGCGCAAGATGTACCCAGTGCCAATACGCGTGCGTATCCGGGATATGTGGATCCGCTAATGCCGAATCCTCAATGGCGTTATTGGGGGTCTAATTTGCCCAAATTGGAGAAGATTAAGGCGGCTATTGATCCGAATGATGTTTTTCATAATCCCCAGAGTGTGAAACCGAGAAAGCAGGCTCCATAACAGACCGGAAGCTCAGGGCAAGCGTGAAAGATCTTTTCTCCTATCAGAACATTAGCATTGACCTAGACCCAGCGTATTCATAGAATCAACATGACATTGGGGATTGTTCCTGCATCCGCTTCAACTGGTAAAGTAGTGTAATTCCATTGCACACGCTCACACCATTATATCTGTCAGTCCTAGAATTGGAAGTCTCTTAACCATGCTCTCAAATCTCACGTCAAAGGCCATTGTCGGCACAGACGTAGCACATCACATGATGCATGACATCATGTGATTGGCAAAAGAGAAAGAAGGGACACATCTTGGAGCTCTTCATCTCACGTATTTACAAATCGTACAAACTAACTGAGGATACAATTGGGGCCTTCTATCATATCCCTCACATTTAGCGTCCGTCAAAAAACTGCTGAGAAAAGAAAAAAGATACATCTGACTTCTCGCAAGGATATAGAATAACAGAATCAACATATCATCCGAGACGAGTTGATATTCAGCAGGCTACGTTGACGAGTTGAACACTATCATGAAACGTACCCTGGATGCAGACGAGAAGACACTAGGCTCCCCAGAAAAGAAAGAATGCAACGAGAGAAACAGAAAGCTGCCCACCATCAACAGCCTGAAAGCCCCTGTCTCTCCTCCAAGACGACTACCTCGCCCTGATAAACCACATCCAACTACACTGTCAGTACCGCAAAGAATCACAAATAAAGCTACGACTAGCACGAGCTCAACGCCAAATTTAGCAGCAATAGAGGCCGGCCAAGTCGAGGTCAAAGATCATCTGAACATATTCTCCACACGTCTAGGCCAGTGTATTCGCCCATCAACATCCTCCGACATGCCTCGTCTTCAAATAACAGACTGGGCGAATCTATACCGCCGCAATGAAAATCCTCACGGAAGACATTTCGTGGTCCATCAACATGATCACCCCATATCAGGACCACATTATGATCTCCGACTGCAGTTCTCAGAGGTCAGCTCTGTTAGTTGGTCGGTTATGTATGGATTACCGGGTGATCCGAATAGTCGAAGGTTGAATCGGAATGCGACAGAGACGAGGGTGCATTGTTATTGGGTATGTTTTCTTTTTTGGAACATTTGGGTTAGGCTGATGTATAATGGTGTAGAATCATCTCATTGAGACAGCGAGTCCGAATACGGGAAGTATGGTTATCTGGGACACCGGGGAGTATGAAGTGCTGCCCTATCAGATAGAGTCGAGCATGCCAGAGACAGATGACTCTCGCTCTGTGAGTTCGGAAAGTGATGTTCCTGTGCAAGAGCATAAGAGTGAGAGTGAGAAGCTTATGGAAGCATTTCATAATGTAGGTTCTAGTCATTTTTGCCTGTTATCATCATGTGTTAATTACTAGAAGCGCAAGATTCGGCTACGACTGCACGGAACCCGTCTACCTCCGAACTACACAATCATCCTACGACAAGACAAAAATACGCACCAAGCACCACTCCGAATATCTCAGAAACGGCGCAGACGCACTCAGCCTCGACTACAGAGTCAACCCACTCTTACCTCTTCCGATTCCTCTCTCTCACCATCGCCATCATCCAAACAAATAAACAAATCATCAACAACACAATCCAATCCGGAGCCTTCAGAATCCAACACAAAGGCCGACTTAGATGACGAAAAAGCCGACTACTATATTCGCCTTAATAACGCGTACCCCGGGTCTACAAATACTATCGGCTCTATCCATCAACGACGATGGTTCATCGCGCTGGACCGTGTTAATTCTGGGTTCGAGTATGAGCCGGAGAAGAAATGGTGGGTACAAACGAAGGATCCAGATACGGGAGAATTAATGGCCTTTAAACCATTCTATGTTAGAGGCCCTGAGATGGAAAGAAGTGTGGTTACGGGGAGGTCAGGGAAAGATGTGCTTGAGGATGAAGAAGTGCAAGGGTTTATACCAAGACGGGGATGGAGAGCTGTGTTAGAATAATGAACTATTTTATGATAAATGATCTAATATGCCTTCAGTCTACTATAGTCTATAAATAAAGTAATCAACCAACATAAACCTGCACAACAGCCTCATTACCCCACCCGCTATCCAACCCCATCCCCCTCCACGCACTCAGCACATCAACCGCCAAAACCCTACTCCCCTCACCCCCTTCCTTCCAAACGGTCCTCCTCGGCACCGCCCTCCCAGAAATCATCACCATAAAGTTCCGCGCAATACTATGATCCTCCAAATCTGAGAAATAAATCCCCAACGTCCCCAGCGCCTTCAGCGCAATGTCGAATCGCAACCGTCCGTTCTCCACGATAAACACATCGTAGCTGACTATCGCCGCTGCGCCAGTCATTTTACCGAGTAAGCCTAGGACAGCGACGTGCGTGAGGTTAGTCGTGCCGGAGCCGCAGCCGCGACTTCCACGTAGTGTGAAGGAGTGTGTGGGGTAGGCTGTCAGAATTTCCCAGCCCTTCTGGCCTAGTTCGGCCATGACGAGGGAGTTTTCATCGGCGGGGTGCATGGGGTTGCTGACGCGGCCGCTGGTATGCGCGCGGACGACGTACCGCCCGTTAGAATCCTCGTGGATACCCGGGAAATCTCTAAGACAGACGAGTTTGCATGATTCCGAGTCTTGCATGTTGAACAGGCCAAGGATACCGCTTCCCGTGCGTGCTGCTCCTGTATATGTGCCTACGGAGAGGACATGACCTTCGTTGTAGTCATGGTACATGTTCATTGCGCGGCCGACGATGCTGGGGCGGAGAATGACTGTTGTGCCGTGGGTTGTTGGGGCGGTCATTTGGTTGAGGACGGCGAGGTCGTGTTTGCCTGGTTCATCAGTGATGTAGATAGGGCCGCCGGAGACGCAGCGCGCGGCGGCGTGGAAGGAGGCGTAGGGGTGAGAGGTTTGGAACATGTCCCAGTCTGGGAGGACGTTGAGGAAGCGGGTGAGGAGGGTGTTATGGGCGTTACAGAAAACGTGCCATGGGTGTGAGGTCTTGATTGCTGGGAAGAAGTCGTCTGAGTTGCGGAGAGGAATGGCAGGTTTACTTGTGGGGAGTTGAGAGTGAAATATTGCCTGGGGAAAGGTTGACATGCAGGAGATGGATCTTGTGCTGAAATGTTTCAGGGATGCGATGGACCAGGCGTCTTGGTAAGAGGGGATGAAGCGGCGGCGGTCTTCGGGAGTTGCCAGTAGGTCTAGGAAGAATTGGGCGTCTGTTTTGACGGAGTCAATTCCGACGGAGGTTAAGTAGGAGTAGAACTCGTCGTAGAAGGTTTGGATGTCTTCTGGTTCGATGGCGAGCATGATGCCGTTATCGAAGGCGTGGGGTAGTGGTGCTCCGGCAGCTGGGTCTTTGATTTTGACTTCTTTTGTCCTGAAGCGCTGGGCGAGGTCGCCATTAGGGGAGATACCGCCCCAGTATCCGAAAAGTGCATGCCAGACGGCGATGTGCTCGATGCTTGGTTGACGCTGTCGAATGGCTTGGACGGTTTGTCTCAGTCCTTCTGGGAATGCGCGAGGGTTGCCCTCGAACTGTGTCCAACGCCTTTTAAACTGCGAGTCGCCTTCGTTGTCCAGGGCTTGCCAGTTATCATCGATGATGAGGTTGACGATCTTAATGCCGTGGGCATTCAGCGCGTCTAGGGCATGCAGGATCTTTTCCTCTGTCAAGTTCTGGCCCAGGCCATTCCAAGTACAGTATGTCAAGCCGTCGTACCACTCCGTTAGCCACTGCACTTTGGGGTCTTTTTCAACCATGACAAGATCGTCTCCGGTGGGCGATGCCGCGCTTGAAGGACGTTCTTTCTCCTCTAGCTTTTCTTCGCCCTTCTCGTCCTTTTTCTCCTCGCCCTCTTTCTCCTGGCTAGCGACCTGGACTAGCTTTCGTGCTTCATATATCACAGCACCCATAGCAACTTCAAAATCATAAGCAACAGCAGCCAGAACCTTAAACTTGGTCGTTTCCGTGTTGTCACTCTGAGCCTTGATAATAACTTCCCCCTTCTCACCGGACCGAAACAGCGTCAATATATGATCAACACCAGACACACCCAGAAGGACAAGATGCGTCCCATCTGTCCGCAAAAACGAACACAAAACCGCATCTTCTGTCAACTGGAACGTCTTCCTCCCATGTCTCGGCCCCAACCACGGCGTCCATATCCGCACCAGCGAGAAATTCCGCACAACAGAAGACGGCACACCAAGAATCGCTTCCTTGATCGTAGACTCTGTATCTGCAGCCGGAGGCACACTCCCAGATACCTGCCACAGCACCGAGTTAACAGCTTCGCTCACACGCGACTCAACCTCGACCTCTGACGAAAGATTCTCGAAGTACTTCCCCAATTCGCTTCTACCTCCGGATGACGATGATGATGGTGTCGAGTATGACTGCGATGTCGTGTACGACGGTGTCGGCGCTGAGTACCAGGACGGAGTAGACTGCGTCCCCGACGTACCCCCACCACCAGCACCACTAGCACCACCCGCAGCAGCAGTATTAGCAGTAGCAAGCGCACTCTGATCCCTCGGGGCAAACACCAACTCCCCATGCCTAACTTCCTCCGGCTTTTGCTGATTGGCCCATTGCCAGGGGGCATTGGGGCCGGAGCGGTACTTGACTGTGAACTGCGCGTAGCCGCCCTGATTGGGTAGGGTGATTTCCTCTGTGAAGACGGAGCGGTAGAAGTTGTATTCTCCTTTTGGGGCGTTCAGCATTGGGGCACTGGTTGTGGGGGCTTTGCGGAGAGGGAGGGATTTCCATTCTGGGGCGCTGCTGGAATTGTTGCTGCTGTAGGCTGTGGTGGTGCTGGTAGCAGGGGTTGTGGTGATGTTATGCCAAACCTCAGCCTCCCATGGTTGTTCCGGAAATGAAATGCTTGATTCGATTACAACGGTGAATCGGAGCTGTTCATGTTATTACTTTCCCTCTAGATATGTGAGGTGGGAAATGAACTCACTGTATCATCCTTCTCCAACTCCAAAGCCTTCTGGATCCTCTGCGGACACGTTACCTGTCCCAGCGGTGGGAAACAAGATACTCGAGCAAAAAGACTCATCTGTGCTGGACGGATGAAGCGTAGCTGCGATGCTGGTTTCTTCTGTTGTTTTTGGTTGGGTTGAGGCCCAAGGATGGGGAGGGAGGCCGGTTCGGTGGTGTTGACCTGCATCAGGGGCAGTTTTATGGTTTATATGGGAGTTTATTTTATATATAGCAAGGATTAAAAGGGTAGACAGACGGAATCTATAACAGTGACGAGAGTGTAGAGATGTCCGAATGATGGTGTTGTGATGCATTTTGGTGGCGATGCGGGGTTGTACTCCTGCAGGTGAATTGGTATACAGAGACCGTGACTGTTTACATGTAAAAGTATGTTTATTATTCGTAACTATATACTCATGACATTAATTCACCGCAGGTTATTTAGTTGATCTTGATGGCCAACTTGCCAAAGTGCTTTTGAGCCCACTGCATCATTGTTAGCACATACCCCGCATGCAGCAGATCTAAGGAGACTAGACTCACCATGTACTCATAAGCCTCACGGACCTGCTCCAGAGTAAAGACCTTCTCGTCAACCACCGGGCGGATGTCGTTGGCCTCAATGGCCTTGACCATGTCGTTCATCAAGGCCTTGCTGCCAACGTAGACACCCCGCACGGTGCAGATGTTGCTCAACGAGTCCAGGATGCTGGGCTGGCCCTGGGGGTCAACACCACCAAGGAAACCAATGATGCTGATCACACCCTCGAACTTGATGGCCTTGAAACTTTGGGCAAGAGTGCCAGTGCCGCCAACCTCGACAATGTGGTCCACACCCGCGTTGTCGGAGGTGAACTTGCGGGCCGTCTCGCCCCAGTTGGGGTCGGACTTGTAGTTGATGATGTGGTCGGCACCGAGCTGCTTCAGCTTCTGGGCCTTCGCTTCCGAAGAGGTAGTGGCAATGACGGTCGCACCGGCGGCTTTAGCGAACTATAATCAGGAAGAAACCCGTGTTAGCGAATTGGCGTAAATGGAATGCGGAAGTGAGCTTACCTGCAACGCGAACATGCTAACACCACCAGTTCCCTGCACCAGGACAGTCTCGCCCGGCTTCAATGGCTTCAGACCATACAGGGCGTTCCAGCTGGTAAGAGCAGCACAGCTGAGAGTGCTCGACTCGAGGTAGTTGAGGTTCTTGGGGCTCTTGACGAGGCCGTTCTCGTTGAAAACACCATATTGGCGCAGGGTACCGTCAATGACACCACCGAGACCGGTCTGGGCAGCGGGAATGTCGATGGGACCGTACTGGTGACCTTGGTTGAACAAGGTAGCCACTTTATCACCCTGCTTGAATTGCGCGACCTTGGGTCCGACTTCAACGACCTCACCAGCACCGTCGGAACCGGGGACGACAGGGAAGTTGAGGGCGAAGGGGTACATTCCCTGGAGAATTGAACATGTTAGTATTCTCAAGGGTGTCGATTAAAAGTGCTATAGCAATTGACGCACCTTGGGAATGATCAGATCACGGTAGTTCAGCGAGGCCGCGTAGAACTTGACCAACACCTCATTCTCGCCGACCTTGGGGACGTCCGCTTCACCAAAGGTAAGGCTGTCGAACCCGTTCTCCTTGTCCAGGACGGTCCATGTTTGTGTCTTTGCGGGCGCCATTGTTGTATGTATCGTAGTTCTCCGTGAGGAATTGTAAATTAGAAATTTGCAGCGGTGAACTCGGTCTCAACTGAGGGGCATCTATGTAACCTTTATACAAACCCCACCCGCAGTGACGATATGCTTATTAACGCCGAAGCTGGTCCCCGAGTCATTCCCGATGCTGTCTTGGACTTTTTTGGCAGTGTTTCCAGGGTGATCATTCTTCAGCATTAATAATTGACCCGAGGGCTGCTTTTTCCATGCGTTTCGGTGGTCAGTGGGCTCTGAGAGAACTCCGAGACTTTCCCTGAATCAGGTATGGAGGAAACGGGGGATTGGCTTCCTGTATGAGTAGTCGGTACTCATTGGCCGATCTCGGTGAGGTAGAGCTGCCACTATGACAGTTGAGCGTATTCTGTGAGTACTCCGTAGTCTTGGGTGACGGCGAATTACCAGAAACGGTATATCGTTCCTGTTTAGGTTTAGCGTCCCATTGTCGCTTGGCATCGCTGTGCGTGCTCTATAAAGTCGCCCTCCATCGCTGCTTCAACTTCAACCAATTTTCTATCGCCTTTCGCCCCTGCCGCCTATGACTTTGGTCAGGCGTTTTTGCTATTAATCCTCTGTCTAGTTCCCCTCATTGCGCCACCCCCTTTTCGCAGAATGCGGTCATAATCATCCTAAAGCTGCAGTCTGGCACCAGTGTGGTCCCCCACTCATGTTGAAAAGCTCTACTAATGGAGAACGATGTTTGACATACTATGATTCCCTACAAATCGAATGGTCCATCATAATTCTCGTCATGTCATTGTCAAGCCCTTCATCTTGCACTGGCTGCGCGTCCCCTGGTGGATCAGTTTTCTATGAATATCATTGTGCCATGTTCATGCCTACGTACAATACTACAACTGGTTGCCTTGTTCAAAGAACGACCTGTTAGTTATTGTGTTCCATTGTTAGCGCAGCGGCATTGGCCACCTCCACGTTGGCTTCATTCTTAACTCCTTTCCTCTGAGTTCTGGATGCACAGACAACAACTCAGCCGTCCATGTCCCGCAAGTGAGAAAGAATTGATTGGCGTATAAGGACAGGTTGAACTGTTGATGTGTCACGCTTAAGACTGGCATCCATTTTGTATTGGGAATAGTCGGCAGGAAAAAGTATCCGGCTTCTCTTGGCCTGTGCCGGACAGGCAACAGGGAATCAATTGGCACACAGGAGTAGTTGAAGATGGTAGTTTGTCACCAACTTCACCTCTTGGCTGGCGCTCATCGAATGCTGAACATCTAGAACAGTTTGGTAGGAATAGTGGTCGAGTTCTATTCCTGCATCAGACATGAGTGGGAAATGGGCGGTGCATTGATTCGATTGTATATGACCCTGGATTGGTTGGCAAAGATCGGCTGGAAGGATGAGACACCAATGGTTTCGGAAGAAATTGATCATCTTTGAGTGGTGAAATGAATCAAACTGGATGAAAGCTCGGCACTCCAAGGATCCACCCCTCAAGCCACCTCTACTCTGGACTCAATAATCAATAAACGGTCTGGAACCAACCCACTGTCATCAGGATCCATCCAGGGAATTGGCATGGTTATTGAACCGGATACCACCCGAGTTGGAATTCATACCGGGCATTGTGTATTCAACATATTCTGTGATCAACTGTGCACATAATCTTCCACAGCAAATCACTCATAGCTCACTAGATCCTGTTCACTACTTATTGGCCGGGCGAGCAAATCGTCGACCAAGGCCCTCTAGCTCAATAAGGGGTGAAAATAGCCGTGGTGCATTATCTGTTTGTAGATAGTTGATGAAGGCATTGTAGATCCCTTGTTGTTCAGCTGGACACTCTGTCCAAGTGTCCAGTGAATAAGCTGACAGATAATATATTCTAGTAGCTGATGGTATTGAGTAGTTGCTATTTAACGTCGGTGTGATATCCCGGAGACGGAATATACGACGGGCAGAGCGGAACTGTCTGGCTAGAGCCTGAGGCTATTTATGTACAAGGAGCACCTCCCGCACGGGAGGATGCTTAATAATGAGGCTGCCTGGGTCGGCAATGAAGTCGAGAGGCATAGGGGATCTATCCGGCATTCACCTGTTGTTTCGCAGGGAACAAACCCCGTCCAGGCTCGGGGGAAAACCTGCGAGAGATACTTGGTATAGACAAGATTTGTGGGTGTAGGATCAGGCAGGATTCGAACCTACAAACTGCCTGGTGACGTGCGCGCCGGCAGGCTAGCCAGGCCCAGTGTCTATATCAGAGCCACTGGCCCTTTGTTACATTCTCTCCTATCTCTGTTCCTAGGCAAGGGCGGCAATGAGTCACGTGACAGAAGTGGTACTGTCGGAAATGTGGCTTAGTCAGGGTTGAAAGTACGTATCAAGCGTATATGGTTGAGGTCTCTGATTCTTGCAAAAGTGTGCTATCTAGGATCCTATATACGACCGTAAATACCTTATAGAGTATACTAAGCGATTGTGCGGTTTCAAAAGCAGTAATAGCAGAGTAAATACGCTGCTTTTCGCCATATGATATCAGCAAGGCATAAATCAGGCATCAGTTGGTATTGTTCGGTAAGGAACCTCTATATTCCGACACAAGAAGGAAAGTCACGTGTAGCACCCCGCCATCATTCCTTTTTTCTTGAACACGGCGAAGAATGATGTCTCAAATCGAGATGCTTACTTCCAGAAAATCGCTCTTGCAGCGTACGAATGCGAGGTATGACTGCATTTGCTGCTGATTGACGTAGCTGAATGTGCCTCGCACATGCAGCTGTATCTCCTGCAGCGCAATCGACTGTGCAGTATGCAAATGGGCATGCAGCAGTCTTAGTAGTGTCCAATATCCTTTCACCTTTCATGCCGGTCAGATTTAAGTGATACAGTTTCCATTGAGTTGACGGACTCGAGGATCATAGTAGGGAGCTTGCTACGGAGCTACTAAATCGGACTTGGGTATATTGGAATATCATGATATTGCGGCCCGTCGCAGCATCAATATTCCCAAACAGGAAATATGTTGATAGCACTTCAGTCTGAATATAGCATAATTCATAATCCGAATATACACTTCTAGAATAGAAGATGGCGCAATTGCACCACTGAATGACTCTCCCGCGCTTCAGGGTTTGTTCTCATTCTGATACGACGATCCGAATGAGGGGTCGTCGTCGCGTGAATCTCATCTCTTGTCTACAGCCATTTCTCTTCTTGCACACATCCAGATCGCTTCTACACATGCTCTTCGTATTCGCTATATTTCAACATGTCTACCTTTAAGCTCAACTCCGGATACGACATTCCCGCTGTCGGCCTCGGAACCTGGGTTGGTTACTACTACTTACATGCGAAAGCGACAACTAACCGATTCGTAACAGCTATCCAAACCACATGAAGTCGAAAACGCTGTCGAGCATGCCCTCAAAGCCGGATATCGTCATATCGACGCTGCAGCATGCTATCTGAACGAGACCGAAGTGGGAAGAGGCTGGAAGAAATCGGGTGTACCGCGCGAGGAAGTTTTTGTTCGTATACTGACGGCCAAACGAGTCATACGAAGGAGTCGGGCTAACTCTACCCAGATCACCAGCAAGTTGTGGAACACGCACCATCACCCGGAGAACGTGGAAGAAGCTGTCAACAAGACCCTGAGCGATCTTCAGACGGACTACCTTGATTTATACCTGGTATGTCCTCCCGATATCATTTCGTTGACTTTACCCTGACAACACCAGGTCCACTGGCCAGTCGCATTCGAACACACCAACGAAACACTCACTCCTCTGGACCCAGTCACCAAGCGATTCCATCTCGCAGACGTTCCCGTCTCCGACACATGGGCAGCTCTTCAGAAACTCGTCAAGGCGGGCAAGATCCGCAGCATTGGCGTGAGTAACTTCACTGTTGGCAAGTTGCAGGAGTTGCTGCAGACGGCAGAGATCCCCCCCGCTGTGAACCAGATCGAGGCGCATCCATATCTGCAGCAGCCGGCGCTGTTTCAGTTTTTGAAGGAGAAGGTAAGATGCTCTTAGCGAGAGGACAAGGACGAGGGCTAACGGTTGGTCGTTTAGGACATCCTACCTGTTGCTTACAGCCCGCTTGGTAACAATATCTACAACGCTCCACGGTATGTATCACATTCTCCTACTATAACGGCTCGGCTGACAACATTGGTAAATAGCGTTGTCGATGATTCAACTGTGATAAAAATCGCAAAGAAGCTCGAAAAAGACCCAGCGGCGGTGTTGATCTCCTGGGCCATCCAACGGGGAAGCTCTGTCCTGCCAAAGAGCGTCACTCCGTCGCGGATTGAAAGCAATTTCCAAGGTAGGCAATACAAGCTTTCCTTTCAGATTGATTTGCGCTTGGAAAGAAGTTAAAGATTGGCAGTCTTCACTATTCCCGATGCCGAATTCGAGGCCCTCAATCAACTTGACCGAAACCAACGATACAACTACCCATTCCGCTGGGGAATTGATATCTTTGGAGAGCTTGGGGCCGAAGAAGCTGAGCGACGTGCTGAGGAGTTTGCTGCGAAGCAGAGGGAGAGCTCATGAGCCGCAATATGCATAGCGTAGGGATAAGCGGAGGTATATATCGTTGTCAAATACATGCAATGTTTCCATGAACAATTTATTCCCCGATTCCATGGAACTATAAATCCCATCACATTACATAGACAGAGATTTAAATAGGTTTGCGTGGTCTGAATGTACATTGTATGAATCGCATCTTGCACGGAACCTCATACAAATCCGCACAGAAATTCTCATCCTTTTAAACATCAACGTCGTCAATTGAAACCAGCAACCACCCAAGCTTGACAGTTTCAGCTAGAGGCTCTTTGAATAGGTTTCTATACTCGTTTATTTTACGCCGGAGGTAAAGATAAAATGTCCTCTTCCGTCCAAGACGGCCGAGTCACCAAGCATAAATCGTCATCGCGGCGGTCCTCAGCGCGACGGATGAGCCAATCTAACCAGGAGAATAAAGAACAAAAGAGTATGCTTTCTCCAATCACACCAATTTATTCAACATTTGAACGTTTAATAAATTATGCCGTCTAACACATTCCAGAAACCCAACCTCTCCCCCTAATCGAGCGCACCAATGCCCTCCCAATCGAGCAATTCAGATCAACCTATGCGCCAACGATCTCTGAAACGTTCAAATTAAAGAACCCCACAGAAGAAGCCGAGGATAGCTCTATTCCCGACCAAACCAAAGAACTGGACTACATGCTAGATCTTTACACCGCAAAGACCATCCCCTCCGCGGACTTTGAGGCCTGCTTTGGTCTCATCGAGTTGACTTCTTCAAATGCTTACGATGGGTCTAGTGTGGGATGGTCTCCGTCGAAGAAGCGGAAGGAGATGAAGTTGCCTGATATGAAGTATTTAATTGCGCGCCGGGGGTCTAGATCCGAGGGGAAAGATGAATCTGAGCCTGCCGGGGGGGCGATTTTAGGATTCCTTTCTTTTATGGTTACATATGAAGATGGGAAGGAGGTCATCTATTGCTATGAGATTCACCTGTCACCAGAAGCACGGGGCATGGGGCTAGGGAGACAGTTGATGCTGACATGCGAGAATGTCGGACGGCACGTGGGTCTCGAGAAGACCATGTTGACTGTCTTCAAGTCGAACACGAAGGCAGTGCGCTTTTACGAACGTTGTGGGTTTGAAATCGATGAATACTCCCCACAGCCGCGAAGGCTGCGGAATGGTACGGTGAAGGAACCGGATTATTTGATCTTATCCAAGATGTTGGACAATGATGATCCGTGGGAGACTGATTGATATATATATTTAGGTCTTAGATATATGTATTGGTTAGACCTGTCTAACGTCCTTTCCTCGGAGTTCCGGGTTATCTTGTTCCCATTCCTCTCGGAGCGCAGCAAAGACGGTGTCTGCTAACAAGATCGAAAGCCCCAAACTCCAGACTAGTGTGATGGCGTAGAAAAAGTTGGCGTTCCCGGAACCGGCGTAGATCCACAAGTGATAAAAAGCAGGGCCCAAAAGGGTCGCGTACAACAGCGCGGAGACTGCGAAGAACGTGTAGCGCATCACTGATATAGTCAGTCAACATCCGCGCAGACAGAAACGTGATTCAACTTACAAGAAAAGAGATGCCGGTAAAGTGGAAGGAAAGCGAAATATAGAGATGCGTCCGATATGCTGGGATAAGGCTTGAAAATCGCAAAGATACCCAGGAGCGCAGTAAGGACGAACAAAGGCTGGCGCCGTAACCGTATGGTCAAGCCTCCGACATAGCACGCGAGATGGAGCCAGAAGACACCGAGGAAGAATTCTCGGAACGAGTCAAACATCTCGATAAAGAAATACCACCAGAGACCGACGTTGGGAGTCAAATCTGGAACGAGTAGCTGGAAGCCGTATGTCGCCGAGACAAACTGCCAGAAGTCCCCGACAACAAGACAGGAGATCCCAAGGAGTCCCGCGACGCTTCCTAAAAGAATGCCAAAGTGCTGCACAGCAAAAACTGCTGCATTGGTGGAAACCTTCTTTTTCTGCACCCGTTGATCATAGCACAGAAGGACAACCGGGATAAACAAAAGCGCCGGGTATATCGAGAGGTAGGATGCGAACCCCAAGGCCAGCATCGCATTGACGCTATTTCCGCTGGCAGCATTGGATATGGCGTAGAGGATACCGGAAGTGGTGAAAACATTGGTCGACCTGCTCAAACAGGTTGCAATCGTGAACGGATTAAAAAGAAACCTGAGACCGTTAGGACGCTTCCTTCTTCTCATGAGATGTATAGTCTCCATACCATGCCGCAACTGCAGCCCCGTCATACCGGACATGCTTTCTCAACGATGAATGCAATCTTCCCGAAAGAGCCTGTCCTGAGTCGGATATTGTGACCAATGCGTTCGCGTTTGCGAGATCGACCAGCGAGTAGAAGATGGCTGTCGGTAAAGGGTATTCTCTGGCATTCGGCAATAAGGAGAAGATGGGAAGTAATAGCGGTGCCTATATAGGTATTCAAGGGATTTTGTTAGAATATGACTGCACTGGAGGAAGCAACCAATTGCTGGACCTACCTGGTGGAACACGCCGCCGTCGTAAGGGGAAACATTGCGGGTGTACATGAAGAGGCCTTCCTGCACTATCGCACACGATTAGCATTGCACATCCACTAACAATAGCTCCATTGGGTCAGCACTCACATCGCTTGAAGCTGTTGACCGGCGTAGACACCTCTACTCGTCCCGTCAACAAGTCTGGCAGCGAGGGGAACAGAATCCAAAGCAGCAGTCGCAAGACCAAGGCAGCGCCAAATATGGCCGCCTTTCTGCGATCAACCAGCATGGCGAGTAAATAAGACCAGGTATACTACCGCATCGTATATTCCTATTGCCGTAATCGACCAACGTGGAAGAGTTGAAGCCATCCCCGAAACTGGTCTTCATGATCACATGTCTAGTCTTGGCGCCAAGATAGATAGCACGTGCACGGACCAGTATCCAGCTCCCCGAAGAGAAAAAAAAAGTTATCGAGAAATTTTGGTTATCGCCGATTCTTATTTTTTTCTTCCTGTCAACACCAGTTATCACCACTATTTGTCAAAATGGGAAAGATTAAGAAGAAGGGTATGGGTGACTTCATTCGAATTGCAAAAAATTTCACAATGCTAATCTAATTGCGTCCAGGGAACTCTGGCCAAGCCAAAAACTACATTACCAGAACGCAGGCAGTCCGCAAACTGCAGATTACTCTGCCTGACTTCCGTCGACTATGTATCTTCAAGGGTATGTGATACTGTCTAGTATATGCACTTAGCTTGGAACACTGATGTTGAGACGATGAACAGGTATTTATCCTCGTGAGCCCCGGAACAAGAAGAAGGCTTCGAAAACTTCGACCCCCAACACCACCTTCTACTATACCAAGGATATCCAATACCTCCTCCATGAGCCCCTTTTGGCCAAATTCCGCGACCAGAAATCTCTTGCGAAGAAGATTGCGCGCTCTTTAGGACGTGGAGAAGTTAGCGATGCTTCGCGCTTGGAGAAGAACCATGCTCCGAAACTCACCCTGGACCATGTCATCAAGGAGCGTTATCCCACCTTCATTGACGCTCTCAGAGATTTGGACGATGCGCTTTCGCTGCTGTTCCTCTTTGCAAACCTCCCGTCGAGCTCCCACGTGCCTCCCAAGACCATTGCGCTTTGCCAGCGGGTGACCCATGAATTCCAGCACTATCTGATCGCCACCAACTCCCTGCGCAAGTCTTTCCTCTCGATTAAGGGTATCTACTACCAGGCAACTATCCAAGGACAGGACATCATGTGGCTGGTTCCTTACCGATTCGTCCAGCGGGTGAACGGTGATGTCGACTATCGGATTATGGCCACTTTTGTCGAGTTTTACACTACCCTCCTGGGTTTCGTTAACTACCGCCTCTACTCGTCGCTTGGCCTGAGATACCCACCCAAGTTCGATACCCGAAGTGATGAAAACGGTGCTGAATTGGCTGCTTTCACTCTGGAGGGCCGGTCCGTTGGCAATGTCCCCAAGGCTATCGAAGGGAACAACACAAAGTCAAATGCCCTGTCGAACCAGGTTTCGAGTGAGGTCCAGAGCAAGGTGGACAAGGTCATCCAGGATGCCGGCCTGGATCAGACAAAGGATGAGAAGACCGTCGAGACCACCGAAGAATCAAATGATGCGATCGACAAGTTCGAGCCTGCTGCGCCGGAAGCCGATACGCTCGACCAACCTGACCTGAGCGCAGCCGACTCTGGCTCTCTCTTTGCCCCCTTCACAGTCTACATTTCGAGAGAAGCCCCGAAGGCCCCCTTGGAATTCATCCTCCGTGCTTTCGGCTGTACCCGGGTTGGCTGGGACGCTGTGTCTGGTGACGGTGCTTTCACGCACGATGAGACGGATACCCGTATTACTCATCAGATTGTAGACCGTCCTCCGCTCCCCGAGGGCGCTCTCCCGGCTGCTCCTGCTGCCAAGGATGGTGACGTGCCACAAGTCAAGCCCGGTACCCGGGTTCCCGGCCGTACCTACGTCCAGCCCCAGTGGGTCTGGGACAGCATCAACGAAGGCAGACTTCTCCGTCCCGACCTCTACGCACCGGGTACCACGCTGCCACCTCACTTAAGCCCATGGGTTAAGCCTTCTAGGGTCGGTTATGATCCTAAGGCCAGTCTGGCCGCGCAGGAAGAAGAGGGCGAGGCTGAGCTCGCAGAGGAAGATAGTGGTAGCGACGAAGAGATGGAGGACGAGAAGGACGACAAGGACGACAAGGTTGATGAGAAGAAGAACGGAGATGCCAAGGCCGCTGAGGCATCCGACGATGATGACTCCGAAGAGGAAGACGGCGGTATGGACGTTGACCTTGCCAACTCCGACGAGGATGAAGAAGAGGATGACAGCGAGTCCGCAGATGAGGACTTCGGTGGTTTCGAAGACGATGCTGCTTCCGAGTCCGAAGATGATGAGGAGGCCGCTCGCAGCCGCCACCAAAAGGAACTCGAGGCTGAAGCTGCTGGTCTTCCTTTCTCGTCCATCAATGGTGGCGCGGATGAGAAGGCCAAGAAGAAGTCCTCGCAGGCGAAGAAGATTGCCGCTAAGAAGCGCAAGGAGGAGGAAGAGCTTGAGAGACAGAAGATGATGATGAGTCGCAAGAAGCGGAAGCTGTTGGAGAAGATGATGTACTCGAACAAGAAGCAGTCTGATGAGGCGGCGAAATTGCGGTCGAAGAGAAGAAAGCTTGAGAAGGGAGAGAAGGGAGAGAAGGGCGAGAAATAGATGAGAGGAAAGAAAAGTTAGATTGTTCGTTTTATAATATGTGACCTTATGGGATTTGGAAGCATTCTGGCGTCTGATTGTTGTTTTTATCCTAGACAATGCACAACTATTTAAATAACCAACCGAACAGAATAGCTTTCTTGTTCTAAAGAATGCGATCTCATTGTATCTCCAACCCGAATTCGTCTAGTGTCTTATCGGATGTCAAAGTCACGTGTACCTTATCGATAAGACTCACGTGCCTTTTCGCTGATTTTTGGCTGCTCCAGCTTCTATGCATATACTTCAGTTTTTGATGACCAAAAAAGTTCAGAAAGCCGGGATGTGGGAACAACGAATTAGGTTCTCCTGAGTTCATCATTTATCAGATGAAGGCATCTATGCGAAATCCGGAAAATTCTACCTTCAGACAGCGCTAAACGAGAAACCGACCCGTTTCAGCATACGAGGAATGTCTTCAATCGCAGATGATCAATTCTCGGATCCCCTTAACCCCCCTCAATCTGCGCAACCATTTCAGTCATTATTCGGAGGTCCTGCCAGTCAAGATGTGGATCTGGAACCGTACCCAGAGAGTGACCACGGTGCTGGCACCCAAGAAGACCAAGATGATCTCGACGTTGTCATGGGCGATATACCCACGATGGATGATAACCAGTCTGATGCAACATACCATGCCAGTGATGAAGATGACTCAGATCCAAGGAACGAGGCCAATGCGCCGCCGAAGAAACGCAAGAGACCGCTTGTTGTGGCTAGGTCGATCAGTCCGCCGTCGTCTCCTGAAGAGCGACCTAATAGGTTCCGTGGTCCTGAATCTACATGGAGGAGGTTAACGGCGGAGGAGAGACAGAACGCGCAGGCTCTGGAGACGATTCGTGCTAGGGATCTTGGTGCTCATCTTTACAATTCTTATGCGCTCCGCGTACGGGCCCGTGAAAGAGGACGGATGGCTGGGAAGGAGGATAAGCGAGTGGATGTGACGGAAGCGTTTGCTCCACCTAAGGGATGGGCGGCGTGGCCCATGTCTGCTGATAAGGTGCCTCGAGCGGATGAGCGTTTCAAAAGAGTGGAGGACGCCGCATGGACATTAAGGATCCCATCTGATCCACGGCCTAGTGCTGATTTGGAAGAATCTATTATAGCTATGATGCTCAAAACTGCCAAGGAGAGGTTCGGATCCAGAGAATGGGACCGTAAGCGCACGGTATATCAACCAAGAACATCCACTACATTTCGAGTTGACACCAACGATGAAAGTACGGCTTATGAGGGAAGTGACGGGGGGTACGTGGATGATGAAGAACTTCGTCCCGTAGTTCAGGCGGATGACGATAAATCCAGGCAGCAGCTACGGCCCCTTTCTCGAAACGTTCTCACGCAGTTCGACCAACTTCTGATGGGTCTGCACCATGCGCAGACAGGGGGTGCTCGGGGAGGTGACAGCTCAGCAAGTGAAATGCAATCGGATACAGAGAGTTTGACTTCAAGCAGACCATCACCCAGAAAAATAAATCGTGAAGAGACGGAGGGAAGTCAAACACGAGGTCGGAAAACGTCTCGCCGATCTTCCCAGCATGAAAAGCCTCGCTCTCGCTCTAAAATGCTACATACATCACAATCGCGCGGAAGATCACTTGGCCGAGGATACGGACGATCTACAAGTCGCCTTCGAGGCGGACGCGGTCTCCGCGATTGGAGTGAGGTCTTGGGTGTTGCAGCCATGACAGGCTGGTCATCTGCAGTAGTAATGCGTGCAGCAAAACGGTGCTCCGCGCTATTCGGAGAAGACATGGCATTCCAGAAATTCAACGAGGGAGCAGTGAAACCCGTTGAAGAAGATAACCCGGAAAATGTACAGTATATGGAAAGCGAGTCTGAATCTGAGCATGAACCTGAACCCGAGCCCCAATCCCCTAGATCCCCGCCTATATCTCGACAGTCATCCAAAAATCCACGGTCCAGGGCTTCCTCTATCAGACACGAATCTACTTCCAGGCCTGCTAGTCCTGTGGCTGCTGACAACGCAGCGCGCAAGGGTAAAGGGCAGCATCGCAAGCAGGACTTGGTATGTCCATTCAAATCTTGCCCCCGGCATGTGGATGGTTTTTCACGGACGTGGAACCTGAATCTCCATATGAAGCGCGTACACCCGGGTTACCGTCCGAAGAAACCTGTGTCTATTAACATTGATGCTGGTAATGACGAGCAGTGACCGGCAGCTACTGGGACATGAAGTTCAGATGGGCCGCACAAGCCTCACTTTTTAGCTATGTACATATATTCCTTAGACTGTTGATAGACGAGCTATATAATGAGCTACTTGTATACTACAGAAATACGATGTCGCGTATTGGCGCGTATTAATTGTCGGAGACCACAGGTATTAAAGTAAACTTATTGGCTTATTTTGCCGCAACTGCTGTAATAAAGCTTCTAAATGGCCAATAATGCCGAAAATTAAATTGCCGTACCCGATGTGTATTAGTAATACCATATTGTAACATTCGATGCAACATGGACATACAACAAAACAGCAGGAGAATTGCTCTTTTTAAATGACATGAGAGACGGAGTACTCAACGATTCATCTATCTTGATACGATAGTAGCATTGTGAATGTGTAGCTGCTGCATGACCCAAAATTGACGCGATAAGCTCACTATCATGACGTCGCCCCACGTGACCGCCAGCTCCCCGCTTGGAGTATCGCGATTGAACGCTCATCGTTTCTTCAACCGCCGAAATTCCTCTGGGTCCATCGTCCTTACTATAAATACCCTCCCGATCCTGCTGGTCAGTCACAAAATCACATTTCCTCTCTCATTGTTGCTGTGTAACCTACATCCGAGGGACTTTGGAAGCTCCCCCGCACGGCGAACAATCACCATCTGTTTATCAGCACTGCACTCTCAGTCCTTTATTGGTTGTTGGGAGAAACGTGGAGTGTCAGGAGTTTGATTCTGACAGCATGGAAAGACTTATTCGTCCCGTTGCACGGCAATTGCTGCGTCCTCGACCTCGGTATCCTTTTGCTGTTCCGCCACCGGTCTATGCAAAGCGGCTTTACACGATGGGTCATACTGTGCCTCCGGTAGGTGATTAAGTGCTTGATGGTAGTTACTAGATATGCTAACGATATGCCTGTGGTTATAGTTGAAAGACCAATCGCTTTTCATTCAGAAAGCGTATGTTAATGGAGAGTGGGTGGAAGCTCAGTCTGGGAAGACATTCGAAGTCCACGGTAAGCAGCATGCCCTTAATTCCTGAGCCCCCAGAGAAAAAAAAAAAAAAAAAAAAAAAAAAAATTTATTTCAGACCCTGCATCCGGTAAACTCATTGGAACATGCCCTGAATTCGACACCTCCGATACCCAAAAGGCCATCCAGGCCGCGTCCGAAGCGTTCTCTACATTCCGTACAACATTAGGTCGTGAACGTTCCCGAATGCTGCGTCGGTGGTACCAATTGATGATTGACAATGCGGAGGATCTTGCAACGCTCATTACATGGGAGAATGGAAAGCCATTGGCCGATGCCAAGGGTGAGGTCAACTATGCGGCCAGCTTCTTTGAATGGTTCAGCGAAGAAGCTCCCCGCACCTACGGTGATACTATTCCTGCCTCGGTGCCGGGCAACCGAATCATGACTCTTAAGCAGCCTGTGGGTGTTTGTGGTCTCATTACGCCGTGGAACTTTCCAGCAGCTATGATCACAAGAAAGATCGGACCTGCTTTGGCGGCAGGCTGCACAGTTGTGGTGAAGACTCCTGGTGAGACACCGTTCACAGCAAACGCTCTGGCAGAGCTTGCCCAGCGGGCAGGCATTCCTAAGGGGGTCGTTAACATTGTCACTGCCTCGGCCAACACACCTGAGGTTGGTGAGTCTATAACAACCCACCCCGAGGTCCGCAAGGTGTCCTTCACCGGATCGACAAACGTCGGTAAGCTGCTTATGAAGCAGGCTGCCTCTACTATCAAGAAGGTCTCTTGGGAGCTTGGCGGCAACGCTCCATTTATTGTGTTCGATGATGTCAAGGACCTCGACGCTGCCGTTGCTGGTGCTATCGCTTCCAAGTTCCGCAGCTCAGGCCAAACCTGCGTTTGCGCCAACCGGATCTACGTGCAGAAGGGTGTGTACGAGGAATTCTCCAAGCGTTTCGTCGAGAAGGTCAAGGGATTCAAGATAGGCGGTGGATTCGAAGACGGGATTACCCATGGCCCCGTCATCCACGGCCGCGCTGTCGCCAAGGTTGGCCAGCACGTTCAAGATGCCGCATCGAAGGGTGCTCATGTGGCCCATGGTGGCCAGCAGCTTTCCCAACTGGGCCCTAACTTCTACGACTTGACTGTCCTGACCGGCATGACCAAGGACATGCTGCTTGCCTCTGAGGAAACGTTTGGCCCTGTCGCTGGATTGTTCCCGTTTGAATCAGAGAAGGAAGTCGTCGACCTGGCGAACAGCGCTGAGGTTGGTCTTGCGGGTTACTTCTTCAGCAGCGACCTCAAGCGGATCTTCCGTGTGGCTGAAGCATTGGAGGTTGGTATGGTCGGTGTCAACACTGGTCTTATCAGTGATGCTGCTTCTCCGTAAGTTATTTCTCGATTCTTTTTATATATTCAATTTTGATACTAACCGTTACAGGTTTGGTGGTGTCAAGCAAAGTGGATTTGGCCGTGAAGGCAGCAAGTACGGCATTGATGAGTTTATGGTGGTCAAGAGCGTTACCTTTGGTGGTATGAACGAGCCTTTACAAGCGTAAAGGCATGACTCAGTTTATTCTATGATGACCAGTATATACAATAATATCATGTGATCTAAAAAAAAAATTCATTCCTGTAATATTTGAACACTTTTAAGCTTTTCTCTGCTTCTATGGCTTTCTTACATGCTACAGTAGCAAAACTCCACCGTGACAACCCAAGCCTTCAGCCTCCCTTCAGTCATCGACGCAGATGGGCTACATGAGATTCCCATTTTTCCCTCCGAGGTCAAAAACCTGTAAGACTGGATCGACTGTATAGAGGAGGAACCGGCAATGAACGACCTCTAGGCCTCATCGAAACCGACGTTCCCAGACCTGACCCCGCTAGCCCCAAATTCCACCGATGGACCGTGCTATCGATCAAAGCTGCACTGTGGCTGAAAAGATATATCGAATATAAGATCCTTGATAAGTTGCCAGCCGACGTCGTGCATGCGGATGATGTGAACTGGGCTGTTGAGGCGCTTGTTGAGGGTTCTGGTTCGAGGGGGAGTACGCCGGCTGCATCGGAGCGCAGCTCCTGCTCCTGTGTCTGAGTTGGTGATAGGACCATTGTGCATACAGACACAAGCACGGACAAACACAACCACAACCCGAAATATTGACCCCCCGAATCCAGCCCCCAAACAACATCGAGCCCGAGAATACGCCGCCACCTGACGCCAACTACCAACCCAGACAACCCCCAACGGCAACTGTCTCTGCTGTGACGATCCAGGACACGGTACGGCTGAATGCCCTTATCTATCACCTAGGGCGCGTGGTAACTGGTAGAAGCCTTTTGCGCCGTTGTGGTATTTGGATCCACGGGAGCATGGATTTTCGTGGGAGCAGACGGGTGAGCCGCTGCTGTTTATTTCTATGGAGGTGGGCGCGAATGTGCATGGGTATTCGGTTACTACTGCTCCTACTCAGCCGGGGTATGGATTACTTTGAGTGTACTGATGACTGGGGTATTTGTTAAGCTTGCTAAGCCGCGTGTATGAGTTCTTTCATGGCAAGGTTGCGATATCTGATAGTAAGGCTAGCTACACAACAATATATTATACTACTCCGTAATAGGTTAGTCACACCTGCTATTATTGAAAACTTGAAACATTCCATTCCCAAAAAGAAACGCGTAGTCCGCCGTACTATAATTACTCCAGGCTATTCCAGCTGTAGCAGTTCGTCCGTAATGTCCGTGCTGCTACGCCGTCATGACTAGTCCACAAGGCTGTGGTTGATCTTTATATAGAGACCCACTGATGTTGACGCGGACTATCATGTCGATCGGTGACGGGCTGCATAGTTGACTTTTTTGGTATCACACTACGAATGGGATATTTTGGGCTGATACTTCGTAATACGTAGTAAAGCAGTGCAAATTTCTCTCTATCTCGTTAGGGATTGGTATATGGCTGAAAAGATTTATGCTCGGTCTTCCCTGGTTGCAGTATATATAAAGACATCACGGATAATCCCCAAGCTTGCGTTCATGTAACTCAGAAGTCAGATTGCTTCTGCGCGATCCAATCTCATCCTGCTTTCCGAAAAAACCATTTATTGCGGTGAATTTTAACCTAAACTCGCCATAATCTGTCCCTTTGCAGGGCATAGAGTCATGTTATTCAACATCTGTTGAGTATCGTCATTTTAGAAACCCATGTGCATGCTCTTTGCCAGATAAATCGCGTGGTTTTATCTTTCGTTTTTGAAAATTAAGGCACGGAGGACCAAGGACCATTGACCGTATGGTGTGGAAGCCGTTTGTAGGAAAAATGCTCTAGTGACATTTGTCCCTCGGGGTCCACTGGTCACGAACTGTACATGAAAACAAGCTGTTTTAACCTTTGGTCTCGTTTTATTACCGTGCACACAGCAGTTCGCACGACGGAGACTGTTCAAATGGACTTGCTTGTCACAGGAAAAATTACACACTCTCGCAAATTCGTATGATGCGGTCGTTTCCACTGATATCAGACTAGCTGTCTACGTATAGAGGTATCTGAACACTTGTTTAATCACACATCGACAGAATGATCCACCGGGCTTCTGCTTGTGTAGCCATTCCTTGTGGCGAACGTGCACGATCTGGGGTATTATTAAACTGGGAGAGCTCTTTTCTGAAATTCAAGTCTTCCCATGCAACCAGTAAATACCTTCTATACTCCTTAGAGCTCAAATAAACCAACGGTTGACCACTGACGGGGAGGTGAGTAACCTTCCCTCAGACTTGACTGAACTAATTCGAACTAAGCGGAGCTTAGGACGGTGGACTGTCACGGTTGTTTTTATGCAGCAGGAGGCATTTGAAAGACAGCCGAGATAGCCTCGCAGTTGACAAAGCGCCAGCGCAGAGGCAGCTGGCAGGGTTGGTGCTAGTTTCCGCAGATTAACCTCGTGGCTCGCTCAGGCCTAGCAATCAACCATCCTGCTTCTAGGTGTCCAGTTATTCAGCTGCAGCCATGCCAGGCTTTTTTGAAGCCCAGGAGCTATCGTTTGCACTCACGTTTTCTGCGTGGGGATGGTGCGGGTTATAATAGACTAGTTCGGTATATCTGGACAGCATGACTCTCGCACCCCGTCACCTTTTCTGTAGGGCTGAATCAATACGAGACGGGTTTCGGGCTCGAACGTGAACCTGGAGAGCAAACGCAAGTGTTTCTGAATCCATGCAGCATGGGACATGCGACAGTCATGCTTAGTGAGGAATGTACAAAACGTCATGTCTTACCTGGTGGTATACTTGGAATGTAGCGCAGTGAATCTGGTGCAGCTGTGATGTCAGACGATGAATTGATCTTTCATCGTTGGCTCTACTCCAGTTTGGCTCCGCCCCAGGGAACCTAGGGAAAATGCAAATTTCGACCCCACTGGCTTTTGCAATGTCCTAAACAGGTCATCTTGGTAGTACTTCTGTATCAACCACATTGCTCGGATATGTATCATAGGTTGCGCGATTTGTGCACGGATATTCCAGACGGATTAGATAAAATAGAATAGAAGCTCATATTCTTAGATCATGATCCTTTCCAGTTATCCTTGAGTTATCCTTGAGTTATCCTTGAGTTATCCTGTTGGAGGGTGCATCTCCGGAGAGGATCGACTGACATTTTGGCCCCTCGAGGGATCATTGCTTAGTGTCATAGCGGACAAGGGAAGCCTAAGCAATATTCTACTGAAACATGCGGTAGAGAGCACTCTAAGCGAAGGTGGAATTGAGATCTTCGTCCTTTGTGTGATAGAGTCGACGTGACAAGGCAGATTCCCAAACGGGTAAACTATGCCAATTCGGGCAACCAACACAGTACCACTTGATTAGGCATAACATTTAAAATGGCCCCAGATGGTGTTTGGAGTATTTCCTTGATTAACGCAATGGGGCTGGGGATACGTAAGCATTTTAAACCAAGTAAAAAAGCCCTATGAACGGCTCCGTGCCAGCCCCGCTAGCAGAGTTTTCGACAGAGCCTCAAGGCAGCTGTATACCACTACGTATGCCGGCGATCTTTATTATTGGTAGCAGCCCAAGCACGAACAACTGTTTGATTGCCAAGGTTGGCGGTCAGCATGCCACGCAATTACACTACTGACACCTGCATATCCCTCCCTCAGTCCACCTGCTCTGTACACCCTCTCTTAGTCTATTGTTCCAAGGGAAAAGTAAGGTGAAAAAAGCAAGAAAAAATAAATAATTAGTAAGCGGACCAGCCGTCAAGATTCTTGAATCGACCCAATCACGGGAAGCACAGCCCTGCCAGCCACCCAAAATAGAAGCACGCGTGGCGTAGCACCTGGCGCTCCTTGTCATTGGTTGATATGGCCTGCGCCTCCGCAAAGGAAGGGATGTGGGGCTTATGCCGATCAATCGGGCTGGCAACAGTTAAAACTCATCCTCGCTGCTGTTGTTTCTCTCTCATCCATCTCTCTCTCTATTCAGAGTCATTCTTGTCTAGTCGTCTAATCCTATACAACCGCAATCATGGGCAAAGTAGGCCGTGCTTTCTGCATCTTCACTCCCTACGTGCTCACCATCGCATCGTTAGTATGCATTATTATGGTGGGCCTGGGCTGTACCAACTCTGGTTCTTCCACTCTCAACGACCTCTACTTCTTTAGGGTATGTTCTACCATCTCCGTCTGAGAACGACAGTCACTAATAATGCCCAGGCCGACCTGCAAAACTTTACCACCTCATCGGAAACAGAATCAAAAGTATCCTCGCTTCTCAGCGATGCCGGTGTCGATGTTTCCAACTCCAACCTGTCCTCCATCATGGACAAGGCTTCCGACCAGCTGAACCTCGCTGATTTCTACACCGTTGGCCTCTGGGGCTACTGCGACGGAAATGTCACCTCGAGCAACAAATACGACACCTCTTCGTGCTCCAAGCCCAAGGCCGCTTTCTACTTCAACCCCTTCGAAGTCTGGGGTCTGCAGAGCACCGGCGTCGAGAGCCAGCTTCCCGACGGCATTGACAAGGCCTTGTCCACATACAAGAGTGTTTCCAAGTGGATGTTCATCGCCTATATCATCGCCTTTATCGCCACTATTGTCGAGCTGGTCGTCGGTCTCTTCGCCATCTGCAGTCGCTGGGGTAGCTGCATCACCAGTCTGATTGCCGGCGTGGCGTTCTTCTTCATCGCAGCCGCTTCGGCCACCTCCACGGCACTCTTCGCCGTCCTGACCCCCATGTTCAACGAGGAACTCGGCTCCTACGGTATCAAGGGCTCCATGGGAAAGAACATGCTTGCAACCACCTGGTTGGCCGTCGCCTTCTCTCTCGGCGCCAGTCTGTTCTGGGTCATCAGCTCGTGCTGCTGCTCCGGCCGCTCGCCTTACAACCACAAGAAGGACACCTCCGGTGGTATCACGGCCGAAAAGGCTCCCTACACCTACGAGCCTCTTGGTCCCCAGGGTCGTTCCACATCCCCGTACGGTCCTTACTCTCACGACACCTCGTACCCCCCGCCTCCTCCCACCCACGGAAACGCGAACGCTTACGAGCCTTTCCGCCATGCTTAAACATGACATTTTCCTTTTTCCGCTTATATTCCAGCGCTGAGGTCTTTCGCTTAATAACAGACCTGCATTAACGAGTGGACGAATTGGTCGGCATTTATTGTATACTTATTGATTTTTTTCTTCTTTTTTTTTTTTTTTTTTTTTTTTTTTTTTTTTTTTTTTTTTTTT